CCAGAAAATTGATGTTGTCAGGTCACAACCTTGGTTGCCCTGGTTTTGGCCAGTGTTCTGGTTGTGACACGTGTTTGTATGCAAGGCATTTTTTTAATGTCATTTTATGTACAAGTACCGGTACATCCGTCATCTGGTAAAATGTCAGGGAGATTACAGACTAGGACTTTTAGATCATTTTCTCTGAATCATTGATCAATTACCGTAGATATCATGGTTGATCGGTTCAGTCACGGACATTGCCTTTTCTATCGGTTTAAGCTTATTACACGTAATGAAAAAAAAACAATCCTACAAATTGTGAGATTTGTGCTTATGTATCTAGTTGGGAAATCTAGAAAATGATTTAACACAAAAATTGAGCCCCCCCCCCAAAAAAAAACCTTAAAAGCTGAAATTTAATACCTGTGGTCTACATACAATTAACAAATGTACCGGTAGTCATGAACATTTCGAATATTTAAAATAAATAACTGAGAAACAAACAGAAAGAAGATCCCGGTATATTATAAATTAAGAGATGAAACATAAATTTATCACAAAACTGAACGAGAATCTAAGACCAAGTTGTGATATGATAATATAATTGCAGTTCCATGGTATGCAACTCACGTTGAATTTGGATGAGGTGTTCCGTCTACTCTGTGCTGTTAAAACCTTGGGGTAGATTTTTCTTACAGAAGATCTCTTTAAATTTAATCATTAAATTACCAGAAAAAAGGTCAATGTACATGTACAACATGTAGTAAACTTTGTAAATGAATTTTCTATAAACACAGCCAATTACTTACGTAGTTTTGTTTACGTTTCGACTAGTTTCACTAGTCATCCTCAGAACGAAGCACCACCAGTCGGTTGGTGGCGCTGTTTCCTGTTGCGGCCACTAGATGGTGGTCTGGAAACAGGAAACAGCGCCACCAACCGACTGGTGGTGCTTCATTCTGAGGATGACTAGTGAAACTAGTCGAAACGTAAACGAAACTACGTAAGTAACTGGCTGTGTTTATAGAAAATTCATTTACAAAGTTGAAAATTCACCAGCCTGATGAACTTCTTTCATAACATAGTAAATTTCTGTTGGTTTGACAGTTTATCAGAATCTCATGTTACACAAAAAGGATGTATGGAAAAAGTTAAATACGTACTACGGTGCATGTACAGTACCCGGTACATGTTTGAAGTTTTTCCCACACTGCGCACTGATGATGGAAAATTATTTTCAATGCCCTTACAAGTTACATCGTTAGTAAAATTCAACATTTACAGTTGTTTAAAGAAAAATCAATCATCTCTGCAGAGATAAAATTTGGTGATCACGTTTTGCCCATAATACCGTATATGGCAATTTTTGTGTGCCCATCTTTGGTACATGTTTAAACATTTAAATAAGTAACTATACTCAAAGTTTTGAAGGTTTGCATGATTGAGGGCTACCTGTACACAATTTGAGGTACATTGTAGCAATAAGACAAAGATTTTCAGTAGTGCCATGTGACAAATCTCTATAACTTTGTCAAGTTCTGAAAAGAACAAAGGAAAATTCAATGTTTTGGACAGTAGGCCTACATGTATGCTCTGCCCGTTGTTAAGAGACCAGCCTGTGCAGCATCAGAGATCGATTGATGTGGAAGGTTCTTGCGCTTCCATTTCAAATACCTACATATAGTTGCAGTGTACAACTACATGTATGCTTAATGAGGGTGTTCTCAGAATACAGGAAAAGCGGCCTTAAGTTGTATTTATATTAACAACAAAAGACTGTAAGAAATTCAAGGCCCGTTGTGTGTGTTTTTCATGCAGGTAAAATGCCTGAAGGCATCTTTTTGTACAAAACACTGTCACTCATACAGTTGTGACAAAAGAAATTTCACCCCTTTTGCTCTATCCTCACCTCTCCGAGTTGCAATGTCGCCTGTATTGTGTTCCATACATACAACATCAATAGATGTATCCATGAACAAATGTTCCCCCATTAAGAGACCACACAAGAATGGGAACGTCTGTACCATTTGTCACCCAAGTTTGCATTCACACTTTAATACTTACTCATGCACTGTAAAAAAAAACTGGGATAAAAAAAATTCTCATTGGTCGAGGCCTTCAATAAAATCCTTGAAAATGCACCTTTTTCCCCCCGATTAACCTTATTTTCAGTGTTTGTTTTGCCATTTTCACTGGTATTTTGGTGCCATTTTGGTTTTTATGCTACATGTAAAAGTGCAAATTTCCATATTCATGAGCAAAAGTGTGATGTCATTTCAGGCAGAAACGAACTGTGTTACAGCTACAATGCACTTGAGCACCAAAAGTTGCCAGAATTTTGGATACAATGTATTTTCCTTTCTGTGGCGATTTGTTGTGCCAGTACACAGTAAGCCAGTAAGTAAACTTTTCTCACAGATGTTTTCAGTGGGCAAGTTTTGGATTCACAATTTGAAAAGAAAACCCCTAAACTGAAGAGTGTCTTCCTGAATTGACATCACAGAAACAGCACCCTCACTTAATTCCAGAAAAGCATGAACAATTTTTAATGTTTTAAAAGGAAGTGAATTTTTCAATAACATTAACCGAAAAGGGACGTCAAATAGTTGTTATAAAATCCAAGTATGTAAGAGGAGTAGAAAGTTGCAAAAAAATATGTTCATGAGAAAAATTCATTTCATATTGGACCCTTTAAAGTGAAGATACAACATTTGCAAACATCAATAAACGAAATGAACAGATTATCACGAAATATCTTACTGGATGGTTCGGGAATGACATTCTAAAGCACCCTGTAAAATCATGGCTCCTGGTGTGCTGACATTGTCAAGAAAACTTTGTATTTTTCCAACGCTGGTCGGCCGACCAGCGTTGGAGAAAACTGGCTTTTTGCAAAAACTGCTCTGAATTTTTCATAATTAGTTTTTCCGCATTTTCTTTGCAATTGATTACACACCTGTGAAGGGGTACAACCGGTACAACTACATGTACAAGTCTTCTAGACTGATTCTCTGACCTTACAATTCCCCTGCTCCGTTTCATCTTAAGTGGGGTCGGGGAACCAGACTCAACATGATTGGTTTTCTTGGTTTTTCCAGCATCTTTAAGCCCAAAACGTGACACAAGTCAGTTTAACAATATCTGCTATAACATTCTAATTCCCCAAATCTATTTACTACTGAAAACTGCAGCAAGAACAAATGTTGTACATTCCCTTTAAAATGGCTTGGCCCTGCACACTGTACCGGTACATGTATACTGTACACAGCATGTGCAGTGCACACCAGTTGGCAACAATTAACCAAGCAAAATGTACACTGCCTATGCAGCCCATGCATATGAGGCACATGCCGAACACGGATAGCAATTGAGCAACATACCGGTAATGTAAAATGGTAGAAGAAAATCATTGAAAATTTGTGAAATTTTCAACCTTTTTTAATAGATATTTGACCGAAAACATATGAACGGGGTTCAGATTCGGCCATTTCATAGGCAGCCAGACCCTAAGAGATTTTAAACCACACATACCAGTGTGCCAGTAACTTTGCCATTACACTTTTATTTCCTTGTTTACAGACAAAATTAGTTCAAACACAAAAAACAACAAAAAACTAGGAAAAGCAAAATGCAAGCCAGTGTTTATGTTCAGCTATTTCGGTCGTGCTTTGCTGCACTGTGTTATGCACTGTTTATATGAAACCCATCAGTGTGGTAGAATCAGTCAATTGTATGCACTGGATATGTCAGGAGGGAGTAATTACTTGTGTGTCATGCTTGAGCGAGCAATTTCTCAATTTCAAAAAGGCCAAGTTCTTGGTACAGTGTTTTGTTTACAAGCCACACAGCATATTTTGTACATGTCCTGTCCCTTTTAGTATACGTACAGTTAAGGTCTTGTGCAGGATTTCAAGGAGAATAGGCCCACATTTATTTTTTTATGATGTACAGTACATGTAGAAAATATGTGTACATGTATAAAAGACATACATGTACCATACATGTACCGGTACCATACGCAACAACGTACATGTACATGTACATTGTACATTGTACATGTAGGGTGTAGAGTGTTTATACATGTGCATGTACACGTGTACCGGTACACCTACATTTGTACATGTACTGGTACAGGTTAGGTGTTAATAGGTGAAAGTTATTTTCACTTCTCAAACATGCCACACATTCTTGACACATGTGTTGTCCGACAGGGTGGTTACAACCTATTTCAGACACATAGAAATCTTAGAGTACATGTACCAGGACATCTGTACATGTTATGTGTACATGTACATGTACATGTATGTATTACATACATACCGGTACATGTACCAGGGAGGAAGGATTAGACTTTTGATAAAGGATTTCTACATTGTAAATGTTGCTTAAATAGTGTTTAAGTTTAAGTGGTGTACCCACTTAAATTTTAATACCGGTAGTACACAGTTAGATGGTGTCATTAATTCACAGTCCAGTGTACATACATACGTAGTACATGATTAACCGTATGCCCGCTGGCTTTTTAGCTAGGATCCATCCTCAATCCCTCAAATTCCTCCAAATGCCACCATGTAAAAATTGGATTCAGCCTCAATCTTTCAAAATCCTCCAATAATCACTCTGATACAATGGGAAATTGCCGATGATATCAGTGCGGATGATACCCGGTACATTGTATAGTAGGCATAATTTATGCATGGCTAAGCATAAACAACACAAGGTTCTGCTTATGCAATGTAGACCTTGACACAAATGCGTCCTCCAAAATCAACTGGCACAAAAAGAATGGCATTCAGCCTCAATATTCCGATATTCCTCCAAGAGTCCAAAACCTGCCTGGTTAAATTGTGGAGCATTGAGGAGGGTTAGGGTTAATTACTGTAAGTTCAGTGTACATTGAATAAGTTTCAACAGGGTACTGTCGTCGTCTCTTGCACATTTTGTAATTTTAGGTACATGTTTTTTTCCCCCTAATGCATACACTTTCTTATCATCGTACATCTTCACTTCCTTTGCAGATGAGAATCCCCATTTGTCAATGTTTTGACCGATTGACCCTCAGTAACAACAAACGGAATTGAGACGTAATCTTTATTTTTGCCGGTGGAAGTGATTTGGTCCGTGGCAGCGCCATGACGAGCACGTCGACGCTCGCCACTGATGCCACCCAGATGCTGGCTGCAGCCCTGGAACAGATGGATGACATTATCGCTGGTGAGTCCCCGACACAGAAGATGTTTTGACATTTGAGAAAGATAAAATGATAAGACAGAGGGATCTGTTACAGACGTTTAAAGATGGGTCTTGTGTGGATCGTGATTCATTTCCATCCTCTCCCCCCTCCACACGCAAGTTAATGACTAAAAGACAAAGTTTGCTTAAAGATTCTGACATGTACATGTAGACATTCCTTTTTTTGCAGCTTGTACAAATGTAACTGTCCCCCTCCCCCTCCAGTGCCCCCTCCCCCTCAAGCACCCCCTTCCAGTGCCCCCTACCCCTCCAGCATCCCCTCCCCCTCCATCAATCCCTCCTCCTCCAGTTCCCCCTTCCCCTCCAGTGCCTCCTCCCTCCAGTGCCCATCCAGAACCCCTCCCCATCAACCCCTCCTCCAATTACCCTTCCCCCTCCAGTGCCTCCTCCCCCTCCAGTGCCCCTCTCCCTCCAGTGCCCCCTCCCCCTCCCCCTCCAGTGCCCGTCCAGAACCCCTCCCCATCAACCCCTCCTCCTCCAATTATCCTTCCCCCTCCAGTGCCTCCTCCCCCTTCCAGTATTCCCTATACCCTTCCAATATCCCCTACCCCTCCAATATCCTCTACCCTTCCAATTTTCCCCCATTCCCCCTCCAAAGTCACCTCCCCTTCCAATTCCCCCTCCCCTTCCAATGCCCCTCCCCCTTCCAATGCCACCTTCTCCTTCCAATGCCCCTCCCCCTTCCAATGCCCGTCCCCTTCCATTGCCTCCTCCCCTTCCATTGTCCCCTCTCCCTTCCAATGCCCCTCCCCCTTCCAATACCCGTCCCCTTCCATTGCCTCCTCCCCTTCCATTGTCCCCTCTCCCTTCCAATGCCCCTCCCCCTTCCAATGCCCGTCCCCTTCCATTGCCTCCTCCCCTTCCAGTAATGTAGTGCCTTGATGCTGGGCCTTGGCCTTAAGGCTGCCTTAAGGCTGGATTTTAGGGCCTTGGCCTTGGCCTCGAGGCTTGAGGGCAAAAGCCTTGGCCTTGGCCTTGGCCTTGAGGGTTCAGGGCCTTGCAATTTTGAGTCAAGGCTCTTCAAGGCCCATAGAGTTTTGCATTTTCCAGATAAATCTGTTCGAAATTTTGCTGTTACCATTTTAATCGTATTACATGTACGATGGAGGAGGGAAGCACCATATAGATTTGTGTGTTAGGCACACTTCCACTTTTATAGCATCACATGTTGTTACCATTGTAGTAGATTTGCTGCAACAATATTCCGTACACTTGTGGGGCTAATGAGATGATCACTTTAATTGCATATAACTATGGAATAGATTTGATTGGTTGTATATGTCTCCCTGATAAGTGCTAAAGATTTGCATGTATCTGTTTTAGATAATGCTGATATTTCTGACCATGTTGGGCCAGCAAATAAAAATTTCCCAAATCAGTTTCTTGGATCCCCCTTTTGTTACACTTGGGAGAATTGTGTGTCAATATAGAAGTAAATCATTATTTTGTTTAGTTAAACCATATTGAAGACCTGAACTTATACGTTAATAGATACAGTGCAGTCATAAAACGGTGTAGGCCTATGCGAGCATGTTGATTGCAATTAAGAAATGTTGTTCTTCGTAACGAGCAATTCATGATGATAAGGCCAGATCCAGGGGGGTCAAAAGGGGCCACGCCCCCCCCCCCAAAAAAAACGAAACCATTTTTTTTTATGTGACGTCGTAATAAAGGCAGGCAATGAGTACACCACCATCTTTTCCTAAATAAACATCGGTTGAAATGGTCAGAAATTGCCTCAAATCGCACCATAGAGCATCTCGAATCCAAAATTTTTTCTGGGCCCTTAAGCGGGCCCCGAAGCCCAAGCCGTAATCTTTTGACCCACTTTTTTTTTTGGGGGGGGGACCAACATTTCTTTGCCCCCCCCCCAATTGTGTTCTGGATCCGCCCTTGCGTGATGATGTGTCACTCATGTGACTATAATTAGTTCTATATCAGTGGTCATTTCATAAAACAGGGCCTTGGCCTTGGCCTTGGCCTTGAGGGTTAAGCCTTGGCCTTGGCCTCGAGGCTTGAGGGTCGAAACCTTGGCCTTGGCCTTGGCCTTGGCCTTGAGGGTCAAAGCCTTGGCCTTGGCCTTGAGGGTCAAAGCCTTTGCTCCAACACTGTCCCCTTCCATTGTTCCCTCTCCCTTCCAATGCCCCTCCCCCTTCCAATGCCCGTCCCCTTCCATTGCCTCCTCCCCTTCCATTGTTCCCTCTCCCTTCCAATGCCCCTCCCCCTTCCAATGCCCGTCCCCTTCCATTGCCTCCTCCCCTTCCATTGTTCCCTCTCCCTTCCAATGCCCCTCCCCCTTCCAATGCCCGTCCCCTTCCATTGCCTCCTCCCCTTCCATTGTTCCCTCTCCCTTCCAATGCCCCCTCCCCCTTCTGATGCCCTTCCCCGCCTTCCATTTTCCCCTCCCCTCGAATATCCCCACCCCATAGAAAAGTTGACTAATTGGATCTTTTTGCGTATGAGTAATATGTGGCATTCAGGCTTTTGGCCATAATGCCTTTAGAACCAAAGACGGAACCAAAACAAGAAGCGTACATACCGGTATGTAGCTGAGTCGTGGGACAATGACCTCAGTTTTTTTCGATTGGTTCCCAGGCACGAGGTACCAGTCCTCGGAGACGTCCAGCCTGCACAATGGCACCATGGACTCCCACAACGCCAACTTTGCCTCCTCGCTGTCTGTCAACCACTTCGGCATCGCCCAGCTGGCGGACGAGCTGAAACACTCCGTGGAGTTGGCCAAGGACCAAGGGGAGGCAGGGATCTCGCGGGAGGGCGTGCCGGAGAACACGCGGCGGGTGCTCGTACAATGGCTGCAGGGCAACTCAGTACAGGTTTGTAGAAGAAAAAGGTCTCTCTCAAAGACGGCCATGTCTGTAGGAGAACTGCAACTGCGTATTTTACACAATCAAGCACGCATTGCGCAGTGTTGAAACTGTTCCAAACACGCGCACTTGTTGCTCGAAATGTGTGCGAAATACGATGCAGCCGATGCGCGTTATGCTAGTTGACGCTCAAAATGCCAATACACGTGGCTGGTCTGTAGGAAATGACGTCATTTGAGAGAGACCTTTAGAATAACGTTCTTGAAAAAGTCCAATCCTACCCGGTATTTTTGTCTGTAACGTCTGTACCCCCCTAAATGGTAGTGTCACATGCACACATGTGTTTCATACAGCCTGAGGACAGTAAGACACAGAGAGAATAACACAACTTTGTTGTCCTAGAACGTACATCTTTTGTCGAGAACGGTCCTAGGGCATCAGTCTTTGTGCTTAATAGTCTGTGGGAGAGTGAATAAAGGAACAGAGGGAAACATATGTTGTGTCCTCAGATGTACCGCTACATGTAAAATGAAACATTTAGTAAAGAACAACTGATGCTATAAGTTATCCCACGAGCGTGAGTGAAACACCAAATAATGTAGTGTGTCTGTGTCTTCAGCCTCACATGTCACAAGGCCGATGGCCGAGTGGTATGTGGGAAACAGACACACTACACGTGTTTCACGAGTGCGAGTGGGAAAACGAATTAATCTTTAAGCAAACGACCACGTAAAACGACCAGCGGTCAAGTACCCAGGGGACCTGATTCCAATGCTCACCCCTACTCCCAAATTAAACCTCGTCTGAAACTTCCTCACAAATGGCATTCAAAACCTTTCTTTTTCGTTGTGAGAGAAGTTACTAAGTAATTTTCAGAGTTGGTTAAAGGTACCAGATCCCATAATCTAAAATCGGTTCCTGACATCAGCGGTCGAGTACCTGGGTAGCTGGGTTCAATGCTCACCCCTACTTCCAAAGTAAACCTCATTGGAAAATTCCCCACAAATGGCATTCAAAACCTTTCTTTTTTCACAGTCGGAGAAGTTACTAAGTAATTTGTAAAGTTGGTTACGGGTGCCCGATCCCATAATCTAGAACTGGCTCCTGACATTAACAGCAGGGTACCCGGGGTACCGGGGTACCCGGTTCTAATGCCCACCCCTACTCCCCAATTAAACCCAGCTCTTCTGAACATTCCCCACAAACGGCATTCAAAACCTTGTACAGGTACCCGATCCCATAATCTAGAACCTGTTCCTGACATCGGCGGTCGAGTACCCAGCACCCAGTTCCAATGCACACCCCTACTCCCAAATTAAACCTAGCTCTTCCGAACATTCCCCACAAACGGCATTCAAAACCTTGTACAGGTACCCGATCCCATAATCTAGAACCTGTTCCTGACATCGGCGGTCGAGTACCCAGCACCCAGTTCCAATGCACACCCCTACTCCCAAATTAAACCTAGCTCTTCCGAACATTCCCCACAAACGGCATTCAAAACCTTGTACCTGTAGGTACCCGATCCCATAATCTAAAACCTGTTCCTGACATCGGCGGTCGAGTACCCAGCACCCAGTTCCAATGCACACCCCTACTCCCAAATTAAACCTAGCTCGTCTGAACATTCCCCACAAACGGCATTCAAAACCTTTTACAGGTACCCGATCCCATAATCTAATACCTGTTCCTGACATCGGCGGTCGAGTACCCAGCACCCAGTTCCAATGCACACCCCTACACCCAAATTAAACCTTGTCTGATTTTCTTGACTACGGCTTGCAATTTACACATGCCTCTAGGTACAATGAGCCAAAGCCACTTCCCATAGACACGTGTGTTACTGCCAGCCATAGCCAATGTGATTTCAGGAACAGGTTCTAGATTATGGGATCGACGGTCGAGTACCCAGCACCCAGTTCCAATGCACACCCCTACTCCCAAATTAATTTCTTGGCTACGGCTTGCAATTTACACATGCCTCTAGGTACAATGAGCCAAAGCCACTTCCCATAGACACGTGTGTGACTGCCAGCCACAGCCAATGTGATTTGAACATGGCTTCAGACAGTACAGAACCCAAAGTGCATTTTGTGATGAAGGGTCACAAGTACATACATGATTCATCATGAGTGGAGTTTATCACACGTCAATACCGACACCTCTTCAAAGCAAAGCTGCCCAGCTGCGGGGACATCTGACATCGTTTGAGTACCCTCACCTTCATATGACTGATGTGTCACCACTTTGTTGCCCCCCCCCCCAATTTTTTCATCCCGTCCTCGGGGTTGAGATTTGACAGGATTTCTCCTGATTCCAGGATTAACCCTACATGTAACTCCCTACTTAGTTTGACCACGGAGGTATGTACATGTATGTAGAAGACCTTGTCCATTAAAATCCATCACTATCACTCTGCTTCACATACAATGTAATGCTTCAGGACCAAATCCATTGAAATTTACCACTGGTGCTGGTGGATTTTGATTGACTTGCATGTAATCTTAAAACTGGATTTGGCTTAATCTGCCGAAATCCCCCAAACTGGGGGATGGATTTTGATGGTGTTGGTAAGGTTGGGGTTAAAAAATCCTTTTTTTTTTGGAATATAGAATTTGTGAGATTTTGCCATAAAATTCTCTGTACATTTGGTAAAGAATAAAACAAATGGGTGCTAAAAGGGCTGACTTTAAAGGTAATATACCGGTACAACATTAGCTTTTGCTGTAATTTTTACAAATGGACGGATTTTACGATTAGTACATTTCCAAGCAAATATTGCTACACTGACCTGTTAAAAGTTTTGTGTTCATAGATGCTGGAAAAACCATGGAAAAGATGTTGTTCATGTTGTTCAAGACCATACTTCAGATGAAACGGAGCAAAATTTATACACGTCAAGGAATTGTCAGGTCAGGGAACCAGACTACTGGCTTGCAGTGCCTCTGTTCACGGATGTGTCACCCGACTGCAAACAAAATGCCGAGTAAATTGGGGGCATTATTTGAAAAAAAGTCAGTGTTTTTCCAACGACGGTCAGCGGACCATTGTTGGAAATTGATGCAAAATTTGCACTTTTCTTGAAAATGACAGCACACCAGGTACCATGATTTCACATGATGCTTGAGACTATTATCACTTACAGTCAAGTAAGGTATTTGATAATAATTTGGTGGTTTTGTTTTTTGATGTTTGCAAATGTTGTATTAATATTACCTTTAAAAGGCAAATTCTATCACTGCTACATGCATACATGTAGCATGGACCCTATGTTGCTCTAGGGCCCGGGATGACCCTCAAACCCTCTGCAGATTATTTCATGGATTTTTCATGTCCCCTGATCTCACCCCTGTGTCCCAAGGCAATTGCTATTGACAAGACCAACCTTGTTTTCCTCACGCCCGGTGCTGCTTGTTTGCATTCCTCTGGTACCAGTAGCTGTGAATCGTTTCTTGTCACTCAAGGAGAAGATTGATTGCCTCAAGTTTATAACAAGCTACGGGTATAAGGTATAATTTCAGCTGCCACAGAGGGTGTGAAATAGAGTACATGACACCGTTGTGTTTTGTCATCATGGTACATGTACAAAATGTGAACATTGTATTTTTTATTGAACAGAGCAAACAATAATAATGTGCACATATAAACTTGTACAAGTATGCACAAATAGCAAATGTGGAGATGCTGCGTATCACTGTAGAGTATACAAAATGTGAATAATATAAGTAAGTGAAACAGTGTTCACCGGATAGTTGCACAAATAGGCCTATATGTACGTATGTACTTAAATGTTCAAGGAGCTAAAAATGCGCACTAATGATCTGATACACTGTGCCCTCTGGAGACGTGCACACAATAGGGAACAAAAGATTGTATACGTCTCCACAGGACAATTTCTATAGATGAATACGTCTCCACAAGCTTTTCACGAAATAGATATATGGATTTTACTCAAAAACTGGGAATTTCCAAGGTGGGTTGATCCATCGTAAATGGAAGAGTTTTAGAAAAGGGATATTAAGTCTGAATTTCAGCCAATGAAATTAATTCTGGTTGAAATAAGAGCATTTTCAAACTTCCCTTTCAAACTCGAAAACTTTACTACACAAGAACAAAGAAATGTCTCCACAATGATACAAATTTCAGTATGCGTGTACAAGTACATATTAGGTGGATTTTACATTCATTTGTAAATGGTTATTTCATTTCTAGCATTTCAACCTGAAGTCTCAGTCACCTAGCATCAATCAGAGGGTCAGTTGTCAGAATGCCAGTTGCCCATAAAAACTTGACCCCACTTTAACCATAATCTACACGACACTGACCCAAAACTTTACACCACTTTAACCATAATCTACACGACACTGACCCTAAACTTCACACTGACTTCAATTTTGTCCAATCCTGGGCCCAATTTCATGGTTCTGCTAACCACAGACTTTCACGCTTACGATCGCCATTTTGCACTAACAGCGTTAGCTTGCGCTAACCGTGTACATGTAAGCACAGAATCCTCTGTTACGGGATGTACTGGTACCATACGCTTGGGCAACAGCAAAATTCCTCGCTAACCTTAAGCATGGAATTCTCTGCCACATTAAGCAGGGATTTTTTGCTATCGGTAAGCAGAGCAGTGAAATTGGGCCCTTGTGGCCCCGGTTCGATTGCTGCCCCAGGCACTTTTAGTGGACTCAGTTTAAATAATCCTGTCTGATTTGAGTACTAGACTGTCTGATGTCTCTTTTCCTCTCAAACTTAAACGATTTCCCCTCTTTATCTCTTGCGGCATAAAACAAGTGGCCCTTAAGGATGAGTGCCTAAAGCACTGATAAAGATCAGCCATTTTTCTGAAGTGTGGCAGCAGCAGTTTTTTTTTGAAGACGCTGACTTGTGACTTTGTTTCCTCATCACAAAGACCACGCGCAGGTGATGCACCCTGCATAGGAAAGGACCAATTAACGACTGCGACAAACAGGCAATGCCACCCAGCCCAAGTCAGCTCTGTTTGTAGCCCAAGTGATTATCAAAATGGCTTTGTCATCGGTAGGATAAGATAACATTGTTAATGGCTATGGCTGAGTGTAGTCACACATGCTTATGACAAGAATGGAAAGCCACAGCCAAATGAGGGCTTTTGTTAGTGCCCAAGTTGCAGCAGCATTGGGCTTCTTGGCAAATGTCTGTGTCTGGTGTGAGTAAGAATGTGTAACATTGTCTGTCTTCGAAGCATCTGTTTTGAGACATTTCCTTTAAACCGATTGGTCACACATAATGAGATGTAGAGCAAACTCATACATTCATGTACTGAGATGTACGTTAGATACAGTACATGTACATGTCTGCATCTTTTGCATTTATTTCCGTCTTTCATCACTCACAAATTCTAAAGCTTGTTCCTCGCATTACTGGGGAAATGGGCAAGCCACACCTGTCATCATTTTGGAAGTGGTTCTGAATCATAGTCGTCAGTTGCACCCGACTCATCAAAGGACTTTATAAACTCTTAAGCATGTTAAGAGGAAGTGAGACTGGCGATTGGCAATTACAGAATTTGGAGTTCCACCTCTTGGCGAGTCAGTCTCGATTGCTCCACGAGGATGTCAAGTACTAGAGGTTGAAACCCCGGGGAGAATTGGACCAACTTGAGGTTTTCGACTAGCCTGGTTCTCCAGAAACACAGGAAACAAAGTAGGAAACCAGAACTTACATGTGCCCCTTTTGGCAAGAACACGCCCCAAAAATCTTGAAGACGTTCATTTTGTCATCACTGCAGGACCTGCAAGACTTAAAGAATGCAACTTGGATATAACTTGTGGATTGTTACAGGAAAAGGTTTGATCCAAACTGTTCAGTGCATAGGGCACTCCTGAAGATCCGAGAACATTTATGTTGTTATCAGCATCTTCAAGACTTTGGGACTTGGATCTTAAAGTTTGATCGACACAGGAAAAGGTTTGATAGAACTTCTCAACGCATAGGACACTTCCTAATATTTGAAGACATTCATTTTGTCATCAGGACCATAAGGACTTAATGGATGCGACTTGGATCATAAAGAAAGGAACATAGTTTGGATAAATACAGGAAAAAGTTTGATCCAAACTTCTCAGCTCATAGGGCACTTCCTAAACTTTGAAGACGTTCGTTTTGTTATCAGGACCTTCAAGACTTACAGGATGCGACTCGGATCTTAAAATGTAACTTTTGGATCGATACAGGAAAAAGTTTGATCCAAAGTGCTCAGCGCACAGGAAACTTCCTGATACTCGAAGATGCTTATTTTGTCATCAGCAACTTCAAGACGTGAAGAATGTGACTTGGATCTTAACTTTTGGAAGGATACAGGAACAAGGTTTGATCCAACTGCACAGTGTCTGTAAACCGCTGGTGGGTGTGATTCTTGACGGACAACTCCAGTAAATAAAGACCCCAAACCCAGTCCGAAACCCGGCACAGGAACCTGACGTGTACTCAATGTTCCTGACTGTCTGAACCTGCTCAGACATTTTGCGGTCTGACTTGGAACAAGAAGGAAAGTTTAATCAGATGCTGGATCACTGTGGTTATGACTAAATGTTGTTCATGATACATGTAAACTTCAAGACAATGGACAAAATATATGAGAGACTCACATTCAAGATACAATTTTCTCTCATCTGTTCCAGTTAGCATGAGTTCTTAAAAGGAGGAAACCTTTGTCTGTAGGAATGGATTACATTTGATAACAGAGGCAAGGATTTCCAAAGAACAGACGGTGTCACATTGAAGTTACATCAGAGTGTCTGGAAATACTGTATGTTGATGTGGACGGAGGACATTTGGTTTTGGATGGCAAGCTAAGGTGGAGTTTTGTTCACAGATCACACAACAGAGGTTATCAGACTGACTGATCCTTTTTTTTGTTTGGGTGTGAACCCCCTGAATTTCTGTTTGGTAAAAAGTTGGATGTGAGGCCAGTGGAAGGAGTGGAAAATACACTTGTAAATTATTTTAGTTGGAATCGAACCACCGACCTGTCTTCAAATGCTGTTTTCTCCAGTTTTCAACACTATTGAATATACTGCAAGATAAACAAACCATCTCTCCTCGACATTGGGTTGGATGTGAACCCTCCATTTTTTTCAGCATTATTAACTGCATGACTTTCTTACAAAGGAAATGTATTGATGTAATCCAATCATATTAGTCAAACAGACTGGAAATTTGAGTTGGATTGGAAGTACCCGGTACCTGTCACTCCGTGTTTACATGCACAGAAAGTCAACCACCCTGAGGAGCTTAGTTTGTGGCTTGGGTAAGATTCGAACCCAACCCTTGTGGTGTATTGAGTGTTGCATCAAACAAATTGGACGGATCAACTTCTTGTACATGTAGGGGCCTATTTATCCAACCGCACTAAGCAATTTGCTGCAGTTAAAAGGTTTGGGTAGGATTCGAACCCCAAACATCTGCTTGCCGAGCGTTCCACCAACCACAGTTAATTGTTAAAAAGGAAGAGAAGGCCATTATGGGTCAGATGCCAACCAAACCCGGGAAGATTCAGGTCCGACGGAGCAAGAAGTTCTCCCTTGTCAAGGATTCGGTTTCTCCGGGACAAGTAGAGAAATACAAGAAGTACAGACTCAGTCTGGTACCGGTATGTTGACTCGTAATTAATCTGAACGTAATTGAATAACTAATTGATTAATTGAGCAGGGAGGTTACTGGTTACATCCCACATTTTGTCCCAATGTGTATTTTGTATGTCACTTTGTAAGACTTTCTTTTTGTCCTCAGACAATCTCCTGAAATGTCCATACTGCATATTGAATGATAACTTTGGACAATATAATGATGTTAAATTAATGTATGTTGGTGTTTAGTGAGAAGTTAAGAAACACCTCAATTGTCCTTAGCAAGATGAATGTACATCCTCAGGTTCTTAGGACCAGGTGCCAAACATGGTCCTTAGACTAATTATGATACATGTAAGTCCTACATGTACGGTACCATCAAGTTCTCTACCTAGGTTCCCTGGAATGTGTCCTCAGGATAGGCCCCCAAGAAAGGTCCACAGAGCAGGTCCTAAGGACACATTTACACATGGGTCCTCAGACTATGGGTCCTTACGGTAGGTCCTCAGATGGGTCCTAAAACTACATGTACCGGTAGATCCTAAGATCAGGTTTTAAGACAAGGTCCTCAGACCAGGTCCTAAGACTAGGTCCTCAGACCAGGCCCTGAGACCAGGCCCTGAGACCAGCTCCTGAGACCAGGTCCTGAGACCAGGTCCCGAGACAAGGTCCTAAGACCAGATTCTTAGACCAGATTTTCAGACCAGGTTCTAAAGAAAGGTTCTACAATCATGTTGTCCTTCATGTTTGGCCAGGTTCTAAGACTATACTGGTAGGTCCTAAGGATGCGGTTGGTCCTAAGATCAGGTCCAAGACCAGGTCCTCAGGATTGGTCCTAAAACCAGACCCACAGATTGGGACTCCTTGATCATGTTGATATCCTGAGGCCATGTCCTCGGACCAGGTCCTTTAAACAGGCTCCGTATAGTCTGAAAAGTGCCAAGAGGTCCGTCCTACTAGTACTGCATATCAGTGTCCTGAATGCTATACTTTGGCCAACCCTGATAAATGTTCCTTTCTTTTTTTGTAACAGGTGAATGGACAACCCCCGGTATCCCCGGACCAGGTCCAGCGTCTGGAGAGCGACAAAGAGTCCCTCCTGCTGCAGATCAGCGTCCTGAATGACCAGGTGGAGGCTCAATCTGAGGCCATCCAGGAAATGGAAAGGGGACTGGTGGAGGAGACAAGCAAGCTGGCCAAAGCGGAAGCCATGCTGCAAGAGGTGGGTCCTTTTCTTAGAGCATTTATTAAAACCTGGCTCCAGCTTTGGCTTACTCTCCATCCCAACAAGAATCCTGCTGCATTCAAATCCAGTGAAAATACACCAACCGTTGGCCTAGTGTGACTGCATTGGTTGCATAGCAGAAAAACTAATTGTTTGGGTTGGAGTCTGTCAGGCCAGCGGACTAAAACTAAAATCGTCAAATTGGAGAGTGCTGCAAAACATACAAAGCTGAGATTTGTTGAACCTTTAATGTTTACTACTCACGACCACTGCAGATCACTCACAATCTGCTAAATTTGATCAATATCAAAACAGAGTCATGATAATTTGTAACACAAGGTAGCCCAATACCTAACTACCGTGTACATAGCAGTAATAACGTCTAATACATGTACCGGTGCATGCATAATTAAAGATACTAACATTTACATAAATGTTCAAGCAAACTGTTCATTTGTTAAGTGCTGAAACTGTACAGGAACAGTGTCCCGTTACCTATAAATAACAGGTCTAGAAAAAACTCTCCCTTTACAATGTATTTTGAAAAAGCTTTGAACTGATTGTTTCGTTGATTGCTTCAAAATGATAGCTTGCCAGAAAGATTAATTTCACAGGGAGTTTAGTCCACTTACTATCTTTCAACCAAGTATGTTTTTCAACAATAATACGCCAGGATGGCTGCAAACGATGGACTATAGCTTTAAACTCTGACCTTTACAATGTATTTTGAAAAAGTTTTGAACTGATTGTTAAAGATATAGTCCATCATTTGTAATTTGTGCATTTTGTTCGTTTGAAGCAACAAAAGTGTTCAAAATCTAATGAAGGATACTGAACAACTAACCTGATGAAGTTTCAGCTCAGCTTCAGCTGTATATTCCGAGAAAAACAGCATTGTAGGATCTCAATTTCAAATCAAAAGTTGCTGAATCATGTTTTGAATTGTTTTGAATTGCAGCTATACGCGATGTCGCGCACTGATCCGAATTATAGCAACCGCGCGCGCCTGTGCGTCGTGCCAATGCCTGCGCGCGCTGTGCCGAATAACAAAACAAACTACTAATTTAAATTTTCCTATGGTGTGTCTTAAGACGCACCGTTGGAAAGGCCTTCTTTCGTTGATTACTTCAAATGATAGCTTGCCAGAAAGATTAATTTCACAGGGAGTTTAGTCCACTTACTATCTTTCAACCAAGTATGGTTTTCAACAATAATACCCCAGTTACTTTTTCGGATGGCTGCAAATGATGGACTATAGCTTTCAACTCTGACCAGCCAGCTGAGATTCCCGTATCAATCCGTAGACTAGACTCTCGGCCAGCGATCATCTGGGATTAGTCTGGTCCAAATCAGGTGAAGCATTAACGTCAGGGCTACGCAGAGTCCGGATACTACACCCATCATGATGAACCCTCCGCTGTAGCTGCTGGTCACATCATGCAAGTAGCCTGGGGTGGGATCAGAAGCCAGACATACATGCATGTCAGGGTTGCCTTACAATTCTAGTCTGGTTCCTGTACCTCCTTTTTTAATAGAGCGTGTAAGTCTCGCCAGTCCAAGTTCACTTTTAATGTGAACGTCTGGGTACCAAACGCTGACTGGTCTTGTCACAGACTCCCATGTTTGAATTTACCCGATTGTTGTCTACATTGTTTATGTGATCAATATAAATATCAGAAGTTGAGGTAAACAATTTGAATGTAATAATAGTCATCCGATCACTGTGCACTATTTTTTACTATGTTCTCGATTGTAATGCCTTCTTTTATATTGGAATACCCATATACATGTATTGCCCCTGATTGGATGGGCCCAGTCAGGACACAAAACATGCGAAAAACAGGACGTTACACACGTTGTTGTTAATAAATTGTAGGTGCCCGGATGTGCTGTATTATCATAATAATCTCACAGGTTTTTGAGGTCAACTTACATGCTCTATTCAGGATGTTCATTCACATGTGAATTTTAACAAATGAGATGGTTCAGGGTCAAAGATCAGAAAGGCAGTTTTGTACGTACATGTCATGCATGTGGTAGATGTACCGTAAGTCCATCACAAGTCCAGTCACAAATGTCCAGTCACAAAACTCCATTTACAAATCCAGTCATAAGCAACAGGAGCATGAACAACAACAGAATGCCTTTGTCAGTGTTCGTCTTTTAGTACTGATAGGCCTACATGTACATATTTTCAGCTATCGAATATTGTTAGTTTAGTGAACATCTGCGCAGTTGAAAGCACGTGTATAAAATAAGTATGTATATAACTGCTACCATAAATGAGCATCTTACCAGCCATAAGTGCCGACAGCAGGTCTCCACTAGCAGATACCACCAAACCAATGCCGGATGCTTCAGGGAATTTCTCTTGCCCGGCAATCTGACGTGTGAGGGTGTTCTGCATTGGGACGTACACACCTGCCGACAACCCCACCAGTACCGCGCAAACCAAGAACCCTGGATAACTCTCGATCATCGCGATGATGGGACCAGCGATCGTCGCCAACGCGACAAAGATGGCGTAAAGGTACGCTGGCTGCACCAGTCCAGCATCCACAAGATGCCCGTGGGTCAACCGACTGGCGATGTTTGCGATGCCGATCGTGGAGATCAGGGAGGTGGCTTGGAGGTTCGGCACGCCCACCGACTCCGCCCGGGCGGCGATGTAGGCGAGGCTGACGCCATAGATGCTTGTGTTGGTGAACACTGCCGGTAGGAAGCTCATGAAGACACGATTGGTCCACAGCAGTGACAGCCCTGAGCGGTCCAGGAGATGCGCAAACCTCTGACACCATTTCCCTCCCTGAGCTGACTTCTCTAACATATTTTCAACATCCTGGACAGTTTCACAGTCACTCTGTGATTCATTCATTGTGTGCGACACATCTTTAGAGCTTCCTTCATTCTTGAGAAGCTGACTATACACGTACTCCCCGTTCCTTCCCCGATGCGACAGTTTTGTGCTGCCGTAGCTACCGGTACTGTTCCTGTTCTGTCCATCTCCAACTAGCTTTCGCTTGTCTCTCCTGTCAACCGGTGCCTTCAGCAGCCCGGCGCACACCAACACATTTGCCTGCACTGCACTCAAGACTTTGAGGGCGCCCCGCCAGCCATACAGCTTGATCAGGAAGACGCAGAGGGTGGGCAGGACTATCATGCCCACGCTGGCACCTGTCGTGGCGATGCCGTTAGCCATGGCATAGTGCTTGTGAAAGTACTCACTGATTATGATGAGGACACCCATGTGGGACAACCCAAAGCCAATTCCTGAACAACAGAAAAAATGAATGCATGATTGAATCAAGCAAGTTTTGTTTAATTTTGATAGATTTAGAATCACAGTACCTGCAATCAAAACAAAGCATTCTGTAAACTTTGTGGTCAAGTGGATACTGACATGTACGTAAAACTGAACTACCTGTATAAATAATCAAGTGATTATTCGTTAAGAGTGAAAAGAATGAAATAAGCCGATAAGGCTTATAAATCAGGCTCAGGCGCGGTTCTACTGGAAGCTCTAATATCTTAGGGGGGCTAACTTTCGCTAAGTGCTATTTCATTTTGGGATTCGAAAAGCAACCTACCGGTATACAGCGCAGATTCCAGCATGTATCTTTCTCTTTTTTTTGGGCTGTTTTGGCAACTTTTCGGCAACTTGCCAAAACAGCCTTTGTTTTTGGCTGTTTCGGCAACCTGTTTTTGTTAAGATTTTTTTTGTACTTTTGTTTATGGCTGTTTTGGCAATCACTGCTCCCCTCCTAGCCTTTCGTAGAACCGCACCTGGTCAGGTTGATGTACATGTAACAGTTTATTTCTGGTGTACTTGGTGGAGCGCCACTATAAATCTATGGTTTGTAATAGTCAGCGTTCGGTATAGCAATTTCAAGCTTCCTGTGCTCCAGTACTTACTTTTCAATAAATACTATTGAATCATTTCATTATGCTTTTGAGCTTGCACGGGTGCTTTTTCATTTCTATTCCTTGGGAAAATGATAGCCACATGTCGCTCTTCTGTTGACATTTTCAACAACAATGTTTGGTACGTTTTGTACACAAAAACCAGGAACCAAAGATGATGTTCGGTACAGCCGAATGTTCGGTTTATCGATGTTCGGTATGGGGACGTTCCACTGTACATACCGGTACAATCTGTTTCCTCCATGGGATGCCAGTCCATCACAGGTTACTCAGCAGGATATTTTCGGTACCCATTTACATGCATACTCCTTGGTTGAGAGAGGCAGTTGGAGTTAAGTGGCTTGCCCAAGGACACAAAATATGATTCATGATTCACAGACATACAGGTCACTCTCCCCTATGATTATTCTTCCGACCGTACGTACCTGCCATGAATGGAATGGTGATGAATAAAACGTAGACTTCGTGGGCTAATGATGAGCAAAGAAGTCCAGCAAATGACAAGCAAGCCCCAGCCGCCACCACAGTACGAACACCGTAGAACTTAGCCAGTGCACTGGCAAATGGGGCTGAACAGTACAAGACAAAGAAGAAATAATGGGTAACCTTAAGTACAATGTATAAGACGTGTACATGTACATGTACATGTACATGTATGTTAGGACTAGTACTGCACATTAATGTGCCAATTCTGCAGTGATCACAATTTTTCAAGGTTGACTGCAGTATGACTTAGAAAAAGGCAAGAAATATCACTACACAATGTACATGTAAATACTGAAAATCACTTGCAGTAACTTTAAAAAAAAAAAGTTGAGCTCAGAGAGTGAACACAGCTCAAATAACCAGAGGTTACCTTGACTCTTGAGCCATTCTCTTTCATGCAAAAGAACTTGAAACACTAGATGAAACAGTCTTAAGAGCCTTTTCACACTGTCCAGAATCTCCGTGTTGGACCCAGGTTTAACACAAGATTTCAGGAACCCCTCTTACAGTACAAGTAACAAGAATCCAACACGGCTTCTACATGGTGCCAGCTAGTGCTCTACACGGGAAAAAATCCACCTTGGTCATCAGGACTAGGGTTTAGAGGCTGTACCCGGGTAGAAAATTCAAAATCTACAGCTGACCCATGTACAAACTGGTGTGAGAATCGGTATGAACGGTAGTACATTTGTACGCCTTGCGTTAGAAGGCCCCCCCCCCCAAAAAAAAATTATAGTTCTGCTTCTGATTGCCCTGCCTACCCTATACTGACTGACAGCCCCTACTCTAATTTTTTATTGAAAAAATTGAGAAAAAAACCCCACCCCAAACCATCAATTCCTACCATGTACATTTGTACCCTTGACTACACGCAGACGTCTCCATATGTTCGTACAAAAAAAAAAATTGCCCCCCAAAAATCCCTACCTACCCGGTACCTACCGGTACATGTACATGTACATGTACCCTATTTTTGAATGCCTAACTGTGTTTGATGGGAATCAGTTCTGAATAGCTGAGACGGTGGCACGAAGAGGCTTTTAGTTCTGGAACTCTGTGCCTTGTCTAGAGGCAACAAAACGTAAGAAATTTGATGGAACTTACAGGAACACAAGAGCAGGACCAGCACAGACACAGACAGCCCGCCGACCAGCGCGGCGCTCTCCGGGAACTCCGCAAACCACTCAATGTAGAATACTCCAACGCAGCTGGCCAGACCGTAGGTCAGACCGATCACTGTGAAGCTGGACAGTAGTATGGGCCAGTGCTGGATCTCCGAGGAAGGCATGGTGCTGCAAAGGAAATAAGGCCTTAGTCTGAGATTGGATTTGGATTTTTGTACCTCTTGTACAATACAGTTGTGACTGTGTGGCAAGTGCTACCTCTTTGTAGTACATTTGTTGTAATTAGATTACATTACAGGTCATGTAATCTAAAGGTTGTCATGAATAAGTCATTTTGTTCTGACCGATATACGTGTAAACCACCTAATACCGGAAGTATAATGCGGTCAAGTGTGGAGTACACCTGTTGTGCATAACATGTATAAAATCATTCTGCCATTTTTTGCATATTTTGAATGAAACGAGCTCAAATTAGTGTTGTGCAGACCTTTTGATGTTCGCGGGCAAAATCTTTGAACGTCAATTTCTCCCGTTCTGAAGATCGTATATCTTCATGCCACTTTTGGAGTTTGTGTACTGGTAGGTGTACTGACTTTGGGTAGTGTTATGTTCTACATTTTCCGTGGTTCAGTGTTTTGACGATACAGTGCAGGTTCTGTGCAAGGATTGTATGGCACCGCCAAGCATGGTACCTCCTGAATGATGGTCTTGTCAAACATGTTTCTGGTTTTGGTCGCAAATACCGTACGACCCCCAACGCCATGGACCAAACGAGACACCCTCGTCCCCAGGGCCAGCCAAGGTTACATTCAGGCATGCAACTTTTCTTCGGATCTGCTGATTCGTTTTACTTTTCATGAATGCCATTACAGATTGAAAAACATAGTCTTGACTGGTTTGGAATTCCCTCGTTTTTTCCCCTAAATTTCCAGTTGCATGCCTGTACATTATGATGGCCTTTGCTGCTCGAACTGTCACACTTTACTCCCAGTTTTTGTGGGATCTTGGCATCTCTTGAGCGGGATTCCAATAAGTAACAAAATGACATGTTTTGGCAATAAACTCTTCACATCTCTCAGTTTTGGTCAGGTTTGTAAATTACAAACTTTCAATTTAGTAGAATGATCATCGCTTCATGAATATGTATGCAATCAAAGTCTTTGCCCACTGCACTAATGATTGGATTCTATGAATAGTTGGGCTGATTTGCCCCTTTGGCATTTTCGGCCACAAATAGGATAATTGCGTAATTGGATTTTGTGCATCGCACATGCCGGTAAAATTTCCGATTCAGTGACCTGGGGCAGGACAAGATGTATGCCTATAGGGAATGCATTCATAGTGGTCATGTTTCTGTGATTATCATGTACTGTACATGTACATGCTCGTCACGGGACCAGTGAAGAGCTGGTACCGATGACTTCATTGAAGAGGATGTAATAATACCGTTACACTCTGTAAATGTACACGTAAAATTTTACGTGTGGCATTTAAATCTCACTCTCTTGCACGAAGCTGATAAAACTTGCCCCATAAAATTTGTCATGCCTTGTTTACATGATCTGAAATTTTGGTTTAATTCCATTGGTAAAAAAACAGAGTTAATTAGGATCAAAAGTAGGATGTTAACAAACATCCGGCCTCTTTGGCTTACGAAATAGTTTATGAAAACTAACTACAAAGAACAACCACTATAAGGAACATTTTTGTTTGTGTTCGTTATAAATAGTGGCGTTCTATAGTACATATAGGCTACCGGTATATGTGCATTTTATCTTCAAGTAAACTTGAACCCTCGATCCTGATTGGTCGATCCATGGCAACAAGCGTACAAACAAGCACGAGTAATAGGATAACCGCTGAAAAGTTCGTGTACAGCATGCGTGTTCAATCTGTTTAGTGTGTCAAGTTTGCTTGAAGATAAATTCGTTATCCCGCTCGCGCTCGTGGAACACGGAAAATGTAGTGTGTCTGTGTCCCACATGTGGGATACAGACGCACTTCTGTACAGTATTCCGTGTTCCACTCGCGCTCGCGGGATAACTAATAGTATTACATATAGTAAGTCCTTCAAATCCTCATGATTTTGTAGAATATGGGAGGGCAATTTGCATGGTGGGACCTGCATGTATACAGAGTGAGTCAAATAAAGTGAAACCCAAATATCGGGACTATTGTTTCAGTGAAGTTCTGCATGTAGCACTTTGAAAATCTAGGATATGAAAGCCCAATTCATAAGCTTTCTTTTAGTAGAAGAATCATTCAAATAACTCGTGTACGGAATTTTAAACACAAGCACCGTTTTAGAGTTCTGTCCACGGATCACAAAAAAGGTGCGCGATCTTTCAGCAGAACGAAAACAATTCACACACAACCCTATGTGATTTGTTTTCGTTTTGCTGAAAGAACACTTACATTCTTGTGATCTGTGGACAGAACTTAAAACGGTGGTTGCGTTAAAAATTCCGTAACTTGAAAAGTACACGAGTGATTTGAATGATTCTTGCACTAAAAGAAAGCTTATGAATTGGGCTTTCATACCCTAGATTTTGAAAATGCTACATGCCGAGCTTCACTAAAACAATGGTCCAGACATTAGGGTTTCGCTTTTTTTGACTCGCCCTGTATTTTACATGATACATCAAAGTGCATAGGAAAGCTTGGCGTGCTCAAAGGTCCCCTTCTGTTCCTTTGAAGTGGTCCTTTGCAGACTCATCGTCATCGCACCAGACGATGAACAATCAGCCGGCTCGGAGTGTTTTATTATTAGACCTGAACCTTTCTGAAGTGGGTTATGAACCCTGAATCACTGAACAGCCATCCTTCACGACACCACAACACAGGATGTGGGTATTTGAAGGCCCTCAGGAAATCTCAGCGGGTGCTTATTATGTCAACAAACATTGTAATTCCTGAATGTCCAATGCTATTGTACATTTTGTACCAGTAGGTTTGAATGCTACATGTACTGGTATGTTAAATTTGTGTGCAGTTTGTTGCTTTCATTTGGTTGGGGAAGGTGAGTGTGATTGTGGTGTGGATTTTTGTGTTCCTGGTTTGAGTTAAAATGTCTAAAATGATTAGATTGGTTTTGTTTTTGGACAAATAGGCCCCTTCAAATGTTGGATTTGCTTTTGTAATTTACATGTACATGTACTTTATTTCATGAAGCATTTCTAAACAGTTTTAAATGTCTTGTATTGCTCATTGTACAATGTACAAAAATATATGGTATCCACAGAACAGCACTTGGCATACATTTGAGATGGGCCTCATTTTCTTGTATGCTTGTACATTTTGTGTACCGGTATGTAGAATTTCAGAACTTTTGTTTTGTTTTGTACAGGAATACATGAACATAGAATTCATCAGCCAAAAATAACTACATCTACATATCATGTATGTACTGGTACATGTATGTACATTGTATACATGGTACATGTATGCTGAAAACCTACACATGTATACATGTGTAGGTTTTCAGCATACATGTACCAGTGCACTTTGCATGTAGATATTTTGAACGAGACTGTTGTGAATTTCCCCACTCAAATAGTTTGTGTTTTCTTTTCTTTTTCCCCCCCATTTCCTGACAACAGGAGATGACGGCGAGAGCGGAACTAGAAGCTGCCAAGCTGAACCAGATGACAGACCTGTCCAATCTGAGGATTCGGCTGAGCTCGGCAGACAACGATCTCAGTAGCTACAAGGACAGGGCTTTGAAAGCAGAGGTAAATGCAACAGTGACTGCTCTATACTCCGACACCCCTATGTTCCGGCACCCCTACATTGTACATGTATGTTCCGACAACCCGCACATAAGATTGTGTTACTCCTGGGTAGGGTTAGGGTTAGGAATATGTGCAGTCGGAACATATAATGTACATGTAGGTGTGTCAGAACATAGTTGTGCAACCAATGCAACAACATCAATTAAACTTGTATGCATTTCCTTTGGTACATGTATATGGGCTCAGTGTACAAGTACCCCCCTCAACGGTAAGAAAAGGAGAGTTGGGGGAGACCACTGGCAGAGACAATCCAATGCATTGCCAACAGTATAGAAATGTACCAACATGGATCTGTTTTATGATAATGTTGTTTAGGTTTTGCGTTTGCGATTTTTGGGTTGTGTCGGTTCGGTTAAGCTATATGTTTGAAAACCCCCCAAAATAAACCGAAACAAAAACGAAACAGTTTGGAAATTCACACGGTGGAATATAATATTGCAGAGTTTCATGTACTATGCCCGCTACGACCAACGTCAACCCACCGCGCGAATGTGCGTGTGGTTTGCAGTCTATCACACACAGTCTGTAACGTGTACCAGTACCGGTAGGTCCACCAGTAGGCAACGTACATTGTAAAGAGTCCTCACTGTACATGTACCATACGAAAACAGGCTCAAGCCAGATATTTGGGTTTTTTTCGGGTCAGTTCGGTTTGGGTTAGTTCAGGTCAATTTTTGCTTCATTTTTGTTGGGTCAGGTCGGGATCGGATTTGGGGAGTTCAGATCAGTTTTGGTTCGGATTGGGTTTACATGTGTATCTACATGTATAATGTTTTGGGTTGGTTTGGCCTGGTCAACCTGAACCCAATGCCCAACATTATTTTATGAGGTTGGTTTTGGCTTGATGTTTGTCAGGCCGGGTCGGGTCTGATTTGGGGAGTTCAGATCAGTTTTGGTTTGGATTCAGTTAATATCTATAATGTTTCGGGTCGGTTTGGCCTGGTCAACCTGACCCGATGCACACCATTATTCTTTGAGGTCTGAACCTGCCCTGGTGATGATGACAAGATCAAGTATATGTCCAGACGAGGTTGTTTGACCATGCACATGCTTGAACTAAATCGACACTCTCTAGAAGTTTTTGCAAAGTTCCTACTCTCAGTGCCATTTTGACTGTTCACATGAATGTTGAAGTCGCCAACGAGTAGGAAATTGTCATTGGAACAAGCGAGGGTATCGGTAATTAATAAAAAAAAGTCATCCAAAAACGTTCCTCTGGTTAAACCATTGAGAGCGGATGGAGGAGGTCGATACCGCAAACCTCACTAGTTTGCTGGGTAAATTATGGTTATTTGCAAACGTGGACTAAATTTGGTATTTCAGGTTATCTTTCTTTGTATTAATGCACAGAGCCTGTTTGAAGAGAAGCAAATGGAGTCTTCGGAGTTGTCTTTGAAATATCAACAGAGCCAGGTATGTTTTCAGAACAGACGTACATGTTCATGTACGTACACAAAAAAGTGCACAGGATGTGCCATCATTTACATAAATTTCTATGTGTAAGCAGTGCGGCAGTCGCGTCTTGCACAGGTCCTCACAAGTCAATAACAAGTCCATCACTAGTCCATCCCTTGTCCATCAAAAACCCATGACAAGTCTGTCACACATGTCACAAGTCTATTGCAAGTCCATCACAAGTCCATCACAAGTCCATCACAAGTCCATCACAAGTCCATCACAAGTCCATCACAAGTCCATCACAAGTCCATCACAAGTCCATCACAAGTCCATCACAAGTCCATCACAAGTCCATCACAAGTCCATCACAAGTCCATTACAAGTCCATCACAAGTCCATCACAAGTCCATCACAAGTCCATCACAAGTCCATCACAAGTCCATCATCCAGTCAGTCACAAGTCATTAAAAGTTGCTTACTGTACAAGTCCATACAAGCCCACTTCAAGCCCCTCACAAGTCCATCACAAATTCAGTCACAAGTCTTCAAAAGTAAAATGACAAGGCCAGATCACAAGCCCACCACAAGTCCATCATACATGTCACACGTCCGTCGGAAGTCCATCGCAAGTCTATCACAAGTCCATCTCAAAGTCGGTCACAAGTCATCAAAAGTTAATAAGTCCATCAGAATCCATCACACGTCCATCACAAAGTCAGTCACAAGTCCATCAGAAGTCCATCACAATGTCTATCACACATGTCACACGTCCGTTGGAAGTCCGTCGGAAGTCCATCACAAGTCCATCAGACGTCCATCACAAAGTCAGTCACAAGTCATCAACATTTAATTACAAGTCCATCACAAGTCCATCACAAAGACTATCACACATGTCACACGTCTGTCGGAAGTCCGTTTGGCAATGTCCATCACAAGTCCATCACAAAGTCAGTCACAAGTCATCAAAAGTCTATTACAAGTCCATCAGAAGTCCATCACAAAGTCTATCACACATGTCACACGTCCGTTGGAAGTCCGTTTGGAAGTCCATCACAAGTCCATCACATAGTCAGTCACAAGTCATAAAAAGTCAATTACAAGTCCATCACAAAGTCTATCACACATGTCACACGTCCGTCGGAAGTCCATCACAAGTCCATCACAAGTCCATCACACATCCATCACAAAGCCAGTCACAAGTCATCAAAAGTAAATTGCAAGTCCATCACAAAGTCAATCACACATGTCACATGCCCATCACAAGTCAGTCACAAGTCATCAAAAATCAATCACTAAACAAAATTTAAATGAAAACATAATTTGTGCAGGTATATATCTGCACCAATTATGTTTTCATTTAAATTTTGTTTTGTGAGACATTTATAACAGCCAGCAATTTTTCTCCAATGTTAACCAACTTTTGTGTCTCGCATATTACAGAGCAAAATTTCCGAGTTGCAGGCAGAATCCAACAGCTGGCAGGAGAAATACATGCAGGGACAGGTGAGGATAAACCAGCCAATAGGATCACATCTTTTAAATTGGCTGACTACTGTTGGTCACAAACTTTCTAAAGATGTAATGTGAAATAAGAAAGTTTCCAATTTCTGCAACATTTTTGATAATTTCAAAATATGGAAATGAGTATTTTAGAACACTGCCAATATAGTTTTATTTTTTGGTCAAAATGGTTTCCCCCCCCCCTGATTTTAAAGCAGTGCTTACTGCACTCCTCCATGAGTACCAGAAGTAGATATTATTTTTTAGGATCTTAATTGTTACATGTATGGATGTAAATTGTACATGTGTACATTTTACTTTGTGTTTGTGTGCTTTCGTCATTCTTATTGGATGTTGTTTCTGCTGTCCTTAAACCATTGCTATGACGTCACACTATTGTTAAAAGTGTGGATTCGGAACTACGAATCTGTCACACTGGTCACAAAGTGTGGATTCGGAACGAAGAATCTTTAGTACAGTGTGGATTCGGAATTACTAATCCACACTTTGAACACGTCAGACAATTGTTCTCCATAATGAGCATTAATAGGACCGTCTGTGTTAAAACTTTCTTCAGAAATTACCAATGCATCTTCACTGTCAAATTCTCCGCCGTTACTGCAAAAACCACTTTGAGTCAGAATAATCGTCGTCTGAACTATCCATGTTGACGGAAGGAGCCTACACACAAAATGACTTGGTTGTACGGGTGTGGCGATACACATGCTAAACACGCCATAATGCTTCATTACGTATAAGAGCCTCGAAAAACTCCCTTATAAATTACCCTAATGGCCACGATTTGACACCAGATATGCAAGTCTTTTCATCTCCACCCACTGGACTGTTAATGACAACACTTCTTTTGGCGCAATGGTTTAAGTCGAAGAATACACTCGCAAGTGTGGATTCTTAATCTAAGAATCCACACTTTCTTGTGTATTCTCCCCAACTTCAATACATTTTTAAATTTTTTTTCTTTTCCATTTCTTTGTCTCATTTTACGTTTGACCTTCTGTGCAAATCAACCTGTTTTGTTTTACCCTTGCCCTATGTAAATGATGACCTTCTATGTAAAACGTAGGTCAAGCTAGTCCGCACACAGTCTGAGTGTGCGGAGATCAAATGTCGTCTGCGGCAATGTAGTGTAAGTGAAGTGGGCGTGCGGTGTGCATGCATGCGTTGTGTCGTAATTAGTTTTTCTTTTGCCATGGGTTCAAGCACTGTGCATGTATCATTTTGGAGAAAGTTTTGTTTCGTGTTGAGTTTAGGTTTGGTAACATTTTCTTAGAATACAAGGGGAAATCGTGGACTTTCTTAGTTTGCATGGGTGCATGCATGGTTCAGGGGAAGTGGGAACAATTTTGGAAAATTTCACAAAATTTAAATCACGTGAAGAAATGTGATGAAAATGTGTGAGGTTTTTTTGTTTGTGGTAGAAAGATTTCTAAATTGGGTAAATTAAAAAGAATGACAATTTTCTAAGAACTTTGTTAGGAAGGTAGCGGTAGGAATGCATTAAAAACACACTGAGAAGTCTGTTTTTGGAAAATTTGGGATATTTTATTGTATTCGGATGCCTGGTAATCTGTAAATCTCACTCAGCTCAATAGCTTCCAATGGCATTCCATGGACAGCTATAAAAATGGGTTTGTTTAGTAAATGAACATGCATAACTTCTGATAGCATGGATCAATTTCAGTAATTCTTTTTTCCGATAAGTGGAAGAACATGCTTTCAAGACACTTCATTGGTGTATCAAAATTGATTGCTTTTTTAAGAAAAAAGGAATCATGAATCCAGGTCATTTTCTTTTTGACTAACCCTGTACATTGAGGTATTTTGTTAAAGAAAAATTGCAAATTAAATAGACTTACATGTAAACAAGATTAGGTTGGAAAAGTCCTCTCCAAAAGTGTCTCCAGTAACCTTCAGCTCATAATTAGTAAAGGTGTGACCGTGCTGTTAACTTGTGTTCTATGAATGTGTTAATGCAGTTTCAATAACTCATGCGTTACATGTTAAGTCCAAAGCGATTAGAATTAATTTTCAAATTGCGCGGAAATGTCATTGTGCCATGAAAGGTTATGGTCGGAGGTTTTATTCCAATTTTTTGACATTGCATGGGAAATGACGTGCATGACATGAAATGACGTGGGTTCATTTATATATAGACTCACAGATGTACGGTAGGTTTATAATATATGGAATCAGTCAACAAGTACATGTAACCCCCGATACTGAACAATTGAAAGAGCGGCAATATTGCAGCATTTATGCAGGAATACGTAGATTATGTAAACAGTGAAATTCCAACTGGAACCAGCCTATAGTGTCCTTCAAACACAATTTCATAGTTAAATTTCCTGGAAACAGTTGATATGCATCCCCTCTGAATTGTGAAAACTAGAAAGAGTGCCGATATTGAAGGACCACTTAGCGCCATCTTGGAAAAGATGCATGCTAGAAAAATTCAGTTCAGTTCAGTTCACGTTTATTTCCATTCTGCACAGCACAATTGAATATACAAGAAATAACAATATAATTATAAGCAAATATACAATTGTGGCACATACATGGATCATGTACATGAACAGTATGCGGGAACCAGTTAAGTGATCTTCATACGCTCATTGTTAGGTGACAGCGCCCTCGTGTTTTTACGCACAGAGTCCATTTTGGAGGATTCAGTTGATATTGAAGGACCTGTGAGCGCCATCTTGAAACATACTGTAGATTATATGTATATTAACAATAAATAGCATTCGTGAACCAGAGCAGTGTCCTTCATACTGTCCAGTGGCGTAGCCATGAATTTTTCAGTTGGGGGGGGGGGGGATGGGAAGGTGGCATTGCCATGAATTTTTCAGGGGGGGGGGGGCTGGGGGGCTGGAATATTTCATGGGGGGCGTCATGTATATCGATGATAATTTTTTTAGTTACACTTTAATCACATTTCAGTGAAGGTAAAACAGCGATTTAAAGAAAAACAAGAACGGTGGAGAAACTCAATACATGCATCTATTGTGTTCAGTTGTACAGAGACAGCGGTTGTATTTTATGAGTACAGATTTTTCTTTTAACATATTTGTTTTGTGTTTTCTAGGCCGAGAATGAGCGACTCTACATGTCTAAGACCAAGGAATCAGACTATGGTGGGTGCATCAGCTTTTTCAGACATTATAGTTTACGTGTATATATTTTCTCCATTTGAAGCACCAGCAATGTGGCAATAGAAATGAGAATATTACGCAAAGTGAAATTATGAAATGGTTTAATTTGGTTATGGAGCAATGAAATGCCTTAAGATTTGACTTCATAAAAAAAAAAAGTCAATCCTTTGAATCGAATTTATCTGCAGTCCCAAGAATGAATTCTGTTCAATGCCTTAATCGACATTACATTCTTGGTAGACGCTAAATCAGGATGAAATTTCAATTTTTTTGAGGCAGTAAATATGGCTTAGTAAGTTAATGTGCTCAGTTTAAATCAGCTGATAATCATTCACAAGCAATAGACATGACATTATCAGTCCTTTTCACACTAGACAAATCTCGCGGTATAGGCAGAGATGATGCAGGGTTGAAAACATGCATCGTTTCACAATTGAAGAATTTCAACCCTGCGTCAACCCAAGATTGATTTCGCCCTGGGTTGGACTCAGACCAGGGTGAAAATTTTCAAGGTTGAAATTCTTGCCAGGGTTTAAAACAGTAGTAACTAAGCATGATAAGCTTGATTTGCATGAAACAAGTGTGAAAACGATGCGGCGTTGAACAATCCAAAACTCAACCTGGGGCGGCACTGGGTTCGCCCAGGGTTGAGTTCAGCCCAGGTTGAGAGGCTCACGTGTGAAAAGGGCTTTAGTATTTTGCCCGGCGACTGACTTTTGCTAAGTGAAAAAATTCTGCCCTTGGCAAAGTTGCCACAGATCTGGGAGCCAGACAGAATGTCTAGACCAATTACTTGAGTAAATAAATTACTGGTGAGGAACTTCTAACCCAACAAAACATGCATTAATGAGATACCTGAGCCATATTTCAAAACCCGGATGTGATTTAAGCTTTGGCTGTGGACTTGAGCTTCATGATTTCTGGTACTAAACTTTGGAGATCCTGGCTCATCATTCTATAGTAGAAATCAAGCTGGAATTGTTCCCTTTAATGTGAACCTGAGGCACACAAATGGTCTGGCAGCCAGAGGCAATGTAGTGTGGGTCCAAGACTAGATTTTGAATACAACCAGTCCTAAAAGTGCAGTAAAACCATGGACAATTTCGCCATTGATAAAAATGAATCAAATTCTGTCTTGGGAGAATCGGCAGCGCTACCCAGAAAAATTCTGAGCATACTGGTACATGTACATGTACCTCATATCCACTGTATTCAAGCTAATGCACGCACGTGGGGTACTGGTACATGTACGTGAGCTAACGGTACATATACCTCACATACACTGTAGTCAAGCTAATGCATGCACGTGAGGTACAGTACGTGAGGTGCCGGTTCATGTACACGTACCTCACATACACTGTATTCAAGCTAATACACGCACGTGAGGTACGTGAGCTACTGGTACATGTACCTCACATACACTGTATTCAAGCTAATACACGCACGTGAGGTACGTGAGCTACTGGTACATGTACCTCACATACACTGTATTCGAGCTAATGCATGCACGTGAGGTACATAAGCTACCGGTACATGTACCTCACATACACTGTATTCAAGCCAATAAATGCACGTGAGGTACGTGAGCTACTTGTACATGTACCTCACGTACACTGTATTCAAGCTAATGCACGCACTTGAGGTATGGGAGCTACCGGTACATTGGTTTGGTTTGGTTTTATTTACATACATCTCGTGGCCTGATGGCCAAAGTACCGGTACGTGTACAGTATGTTACAAATAAAAAATATATGCTCACATACACTGTATTCAAGCTAATGCATGCACGTGAGGTACATGAGCTACCAATGTGCTCAGAATTTTTCTGGGTAGCAGAAAGTTTTGATTTGATTGATTTTCTTGATATATCATGCTTTTTAGGGACCAGCTGTAATAGGAAATAATATCCAATTGAGTATTGCAACGAGACAAAGCCAAGGCTAGAAACGATGCCGTGGCTTGAGAAATTGCCCATACTGAATTTTCGCTGCCTCCGTTTACATCTTTAATTCATTGTCGTGTTCTTATTTACTGTTTGCAGCCATTGAGATTGAGAAGCTGAAGAGAGCTGTGGAGTCCCTCCTGGCTGCAAACCATGAGAAGGTAAAAATTGTTTCGTACTTAAAAAAAAACCACCTCCCTTGAGACAAGAAAACACTTCTCTTGAGAATTAAAAAAAGACAAGGGATGTTAAAAAACTTGGTAATTTACCGACCTCAACTGAGGACATATCCTTCCTTGTCATGCTTGTTGGAAGTCATGAATAGGTGAAATCCTTCCATACGGTGACATTGAAACATACCTCCCTTGTACATGTACCTCCCTAGTGAAAAAAATCCCAAATCTTTTAAGACGAATACAGAGCAGCATGAGTAGACTTCACAGTCTTCAATTTTGAAGACGAGCCCACAAAGACTTGAGACTCGACCTCAAGAAGACCATAGGCTTACGCGCATATTAGATCTTTATTAACCCCAGCTCTGCCAGATGCAACAGATGCGTAAAAGTGTGCGGAACCTTATTACATTGTGTAGCTCCATCCTACATACGAGACCTGTTACAACTTCGCAACATGCGACCAGGCCTCAGATCTTCTTCATCACAGATACTTTCTGTTCCCAAAACTTGCCTGGCAAGCTACGGGGACTGAGCCTTTTCCAGCTGTGCACCGCGTCTCTGGAATTCCTTGCCAGACGAGTTAAGGGACACAACTGATACGCCATCTTAAGACTCATCTTTTTAATCTATCATTTAAACCACAGTGATTTGCTAGTGACTGGTGCCTTTGAATGGTTCTCCAGATACTGTGCGCCTTATAAAATTATCTGTTATTATTATTATTAATCAACAAGAGTGCATTAACTGTCGGTTCTGCGGCAATTAAAGTTTAGTCGCATTGAACAATGCCACAGTTGAATCCTGTTGCAGTTGGCAACCAGAGACTCAGAGGCAGTTTTGGACATTTGACCTGATGGATCTTGTTCCTTTGGGCAGGCTTCTCACTTTGACAAATGGCAGGGTTGCTAGCCAATACACCCTTGGACTGTTACATGTAGGATTAACTTCAAAGCGGCAACGGATGTTTTCATTAATTCCTCCCAGGACAGAAAGATTGACGATTTAAAGAAGAGCATCGCTCGGCACCAGAAGGTGCAGGAACTCATGATGGGCGCCCAGGGACGAAAACTTGACGTCAACTCATTGGAGGACGAGGCGATTCGATCCGACAGCTTCTCCACGAGTAGCTCCGTGGGTCTGGCTGATACGGAAGAAAGCCCCAGCATCAAAGATAGACAACCGGAGGTTAGCTGTCTGTCTGTTCCTCTCCGTTTATCTGTCTGTCTGTTTGTTCTTTTGTTTTGTCCCTCCTTTGTGAACATAAACATAAATGGTTGAATTTTTGTTATTTTTGGTTTTTATATCGCCAACCACAGACTCCTACTGATTCAGTGAGCGCTTCAACCACCCCCGAAGTTGAAGTCGCCCTCAGAGTGGACTCGCCTGTCACCACACCGACGGATGGGAGTGCTGACGCTGGCAGGAGCGAACCATTATCGCAGCGGGGGCCGTCGGATGACAGGAAGAATTTCCAGAAGAGGAAGTCGGCGAGCTTGGAGGATATCAAACCAGGAGCGTTGGCTTTTACGGTGAGAGAGAAGCTTTACTCGGCTAATACCCACTGCCAGTCTAGGAACATGGGCATCACTGGGGGGGTGTAATCATTTCGTTTGGCAAATTGCAACGTGTTGGCAAAATCTTGTGTGCAACGTTGGTAAATACAGTGTGTATCAAAGAAAATGCAAACAAAATACAACGGAATGCCAGACGTAGAATGAGGAACCAACATAGATAGGTATGGTTTGAACGATATGCCTTTCCACTTTAAAATGTTTAGCCAGTAAACACAGTTCTAAACACTTTCTTGCTATCGCCTCATGCTAAAAAAGTTTAGCATGTAAACATGTTTACAAACTGATAGCAAGAAAGTGTTTAGAATTGTGTTTACTAGCCAAACACATTTTTGTAGGCCAGGCAATTATCCACACAGAGGCAATTAGTCTACCTTTGTCCCTATGCCCAAAATTCAAAACTTGGTCCCATGGTCAATTTGACCTCTCTCGGAAAATGACTCATAACTCTGTCAAAAATTCTCAAATTTGGACGTTTGATGTCTCATTTTCAAGTGGAAAGGCGTATCTTTCAAACGATACCTATATTCTCTATGCTACGTCTGACATTCTGTTGTATTTTGTTTGCATTTTTTATATACATGTACACACTGTATATTGTTTGATTGTATATTGTCAGATTGTGTCCCCAAGTAGGGCAGATGGTGTCCAGGCTAACATCTGCCAACGTTGGCAACGTTTGTACAATTGGAACCTACTGTCTGCCACCAACGTTGGCGAATGTTGGCAAGATAAGGCCAACAGTCTTTCTGAGCCATTAGCTATGTTTTTCAAAAATGGGCAACAGACACAATTAATGTAATGATTCTGTCAAGGCTATCCAAACACTGACTGTTGTAGGATTGGCATACTGGGCGCCGCCATTTTGACAATTTTTCAATGACAGTATCGTTCCATGTGGGGTTGACACGTCTCATGCCATTAATCCTCTTTTACAGAGCACCCGACTTGGCCAGTTATATTTGACGTTTCATCAAGACTGAACCAGGCTTATTGATCTCTCTTATCTCAAGGTTTATCTCCTTAGGGAAGTTTAGCACCTGTTGAATGCCTACCACCAGCAGGGAACAATTAGTACCGCTTGACTGAACGCCTTGTTAGGCATGCCTGAATCATTCCGCGGAGGCCTAGCACATGGATTATTCATAAATTTAATATCCAACGTTCTATTTGTTTTCGTCGAGTAATGAAACCATGTTTTCTTTTTTTATTGTTTAAATTGATGCACAAACAACAGAAATCCTGAATTTGTCAGACTGTAAGTGTGGTCGCTGCGGCACATGATTTACGTTCACGCATGCGTAAATTGCAGAATGCGAGTGTATGAATACCTACCCAAAGAGCGTGGACTGGCCTCCTGTGGCGTAACTAATTGCCTTAAGGGATTAACCAGATAATGTTACACAAGGCTCAGTCAAAGATAAACATCCAAAACCCTGGTATAAAAAGGGCCCAAGCTTTTAAAAGGGAAACTCACCTCATAGCAGGGCCCAGCTATTGAACACAAACATGTCTGTGCGACTGGAACGCATCCCAGATTAGTATATATGCCAAACTCTTGTTTCCCCCCATTTTTCAGAACGATTCCGATTCGGCAGTCCACCAGCAGGGCTACAGCACCCTCCCCTCCCCCCGCAACAAGACCCGGGAGTTCCAGTTCGCCCAGCCGGCCGCCCCTCCCCCGATCAACGCCCAGCCACCCACCCACGCTGCCACCCTACAAGGTAGCCCAGACACTAGGCAAGGCCGTAAGGACCGGTCCGGGTCCTTCGGTCGGGGGCTGTTTAAAGTCCGGGGCTCTAAGAAGACCTCCAGCGCACCTAACTTGGGTGAGGGCCCATGGCTTTGCATGCTTGCACTCATTTTCACGTTGCACCCCACCGAGTGGTCTGGGCTAGCAAATGCTGACGACATGTCAGGTGTATTTTCTGGTTTAATCATGAAACCAAAAAGAGTTTTCTGTGAAACTGGTTCTGAAACTTTTGATGTGAAAAACATCATGCCTTTCAATGTTGCTTCAGATATAAACTGTTTTCATTTTACTGATGAAACCCTAGATTAGTTATTACTTTGATAAATGTCCATCAAGCCAAGGCTTTCTGGTGTGCCGGTACATTAAAAATGTTTTCTTCAAATATACAGGGTGGATAAAAAAAATGAAACAGAGATATTATTGCTCATTGGAACAGAAGTAGGGCACATGTGAATCAAAGGGAGATATCTTCCGTTAGGGTTGAATCTCCTCTTTAAAAAGACTCCCTGGTCATGTCATTACATTCACGATTGACTGAGTAGTGACCAATTTTATGAAAGGGTCTATTTAGAGAATTGCGCCACTTTTCATTTGTGGTTTTTGTTGTGTCAATTGTCACGGAGTGGTTGCCAAACAAGGCGGGTAGGGAAAAAAAGAGATTTCACGATGAAAAGTGGCGCAAGTCTCTAAAGAGACCCTTTTATAAAATTGGTCACTGCTCAGTCAACCGTGAATGTAATGACATGATCAGCGTGTCATTTTAAAGAGGCGATTTAACCCTAACAGAGGATATCTCCCTTTGATTCACATGTGCCCTACTTCTGTTCCAATTAGCAATAATATCTCGGTTTCCTTTTTTTAATCCACCCTGTATATTAAAAAAAAACGTTGTTTGAAGAAAAAAAAATGTCTTTTTACACTTGAGTTTTGCCAATAAATCCATAAACAGTTACCAAACCTACCCTATCCCAAAATAAACATACGGAGAATTACCTTTGGAAACATTCATTGGAAAGTGAGGACTTTTATTTAAATGTGTCTTTCACTAAAGATTTCAAATAAATATTAGTCACTCTTCTGTGACTTATTTGGGTTGTGAAAATGATATTTTATCTAAAACTGAACACCAGAAAGTTACTGTGCCTTTCCAGTGGTTTTTAGATATCAAATTTGAAAAGAATTGTTTAAGCTGAGATGTCATTGCACTTGGAAGCTCGGACCACACTTAACACATATCATCTGTCTTTATTTGCTTGATATTCAATGTTGTGTCGTCCAAGTGTTCATCGTGTTTATACATTTCAACGTGGAATGTTACCTCAGTGTCTGTAGCATGGTTGATATACTACACTGCCCCGAGGGTATGTATGTTTCCAAATTGTTGACCGATTCCATCCTGATCTGGAATAAACTCAGCGCCCCCAGTCCGCCCCCCCCCCCCCCCCCCCCCCACTGAAAATTTGGTATCCGGAGAAAAGCACAGCCATATCAGTTACCGTGATTAGCTGGAAGAACATAAAGTCCTTTTTTTATGCGATTTTGTGCGTATTTTCCACCAAAACTCTTTTTTTTCCTCGAGTGGCTGTTTATTGTAACATCCCTTGGAAACTGAATAGTGGTAGTTATTGTGCAATGTAGCCATGATAAACGTTTTGAACAGTGCCACCCCCATGGGAAGATGGTGTCCAGTCCCAGTGAAAAAAAGAAGACCCTGTCTACCTTTCAGCACTGATGAAATATTTGGGCGCCCCTCCATTGTAACCTCAAGGCCCCCCCCCCCCCATGATGAGAACCCTGGCTACACCGCTGAGTAAACTACAAGGTGTTAAAGTGAAAGTCGTTTTTCCAAATTGATGGAGGACGGTCACCATTACTAAAAAAAAAAAGTATCACCCTCATCTGTATATTTATCCCTTGATATGTTGGATGTACGTTTGTACAGTCTATCAGTGGCATGGTGGTTTTGTAATGTCCTGCCTGGAGGTATGTATGTATTTGAATCACTAAAATAAGATTAAACTTTGTTTGCATGATGTAACACCACACTACACTGCACGAAGGTATGTAGGAAGTGAAGAAAAAAAAAACTGCACCAGCACAGTACACTTTGCATGGCATGAAACCTCAATTGTACGGATCAATTGCACTTTAAAAACTTTCTTTTTACAAAGCACAGATTCACAAATTTGTAATTTCCTTTATAAGAACTAAAAACAATCTACACTCAACCAAAAAAGAAAGTCCCCCTTGATACTTTTTTGTCTAACTCAAAAACTACTGGGCACATCTTGCTCAAATTACAACTAATCAGTACAGAAATTCCTTAGCAATCCAGCCATACTCTTTATTTGGCCCAAAACAGTGATAATGTGTACAAAATTATGCAATTTATGACAAATGGTACCGAAGAAAAGGTTGCACTTTCGTATACGTGCAAGGTGAGTGTGAACCACAACATGCACGCAAAGCGCAACGGTTTTCGGTATCATTTGTCATAAATTGCATGAATTCGTACATATTATCACTGTTTTGGGCCCAGTTAAGAGTATGGCTGGATTGCTAAGGAATTTCTGTACTGAATAGTCGTTATTTGAGCAAGAGATTTGCTCAGTAGTTTTTGAGTTAGACAAAAAAGGATTGAGAAGAGGGGACTTTCTTTTTTGGTTGAGTGTAGGTCTAGTTCTTGGTTTTCAAAACCATTTTAATCTCCTTGGAATGGCTGTGACACTTTCTGTGCACACACAAAAACAGATACATGTATGTTCATGCAGTCGGGCAGCGGTGGTTGACAAATTAGGGTTCTAAATTTCCCCTGTGAAACATATTTTTTTTTAATTTTCCTGTACTTCTGAGAAGTCTGGAGACAATTTGGCAAGTAAACCTTTCCATTTTAGAAAATTGTTAACAATATACATTCAGTACATGTACAGTGTGCAGTTGACAGGTATTGAGTTCATTGAAACAACCATAGAAATACATCTACACAATTCATGGTGCACAGACTTTGCTTTTTCTAAAAGTGAAGTTATGATCAAGCTGGAAGGTGTGGTAAGTGATTGCAGTGTTGAGAATTGCCGCTACCATGAGCAAGATATCTGCTTGCACCATCCACCATCACGCACATCTTGCACAAGCAGATTTCACCACCCCTGCTCCAGTCCTGATTGCTATCACTCCCATTCTGTATTTCTTCCCGTTTTCTGGACTTTGTGCTTCTGTGTTTGATTGAATAATAGAATCATGTCCGTCATGTGCTCGTCCTCTGGGTTGGTGCACATTGAAAATTCGTCCTGCAGTGTGCATTTTGCACTAGCGAACCAGCGTGGGCGGGCCGTCATCACGTTATGGGGAAGTTTTTATTGTTAGGCAAATTGACCTATCGCTGTTTGTGAGTTAGCCACGCCCCTTAGACAACCCTATGGAGTTTTTGCACACTAAATTTTGTTTGTCTCAGATTTTGCGGGTTCCGCGTCTGTAAATTTGCATATCATGTAATTGGACAATGTTTCCCAAATTGCATTGATTCTTCCACGATTCTATCGCAATAGGTCAATTGGGACCGAGTAATGGGGACTTTCTCCTGTCCCCACAGCATATTTAGTCCCCATAGTACCATGGGACAACTCCTGTGTAGTCCCCAGAACTACGGAACAAATATTGGTGTGTACAGATGTGGTATAACACCCCCCCCCTTCCAACCAAAAGAAAAGGCATACAAAATTGAGATCCCTTCCCATTTTCATGTCTTCATTTCCGCCCATGCTTTGACCTTAGCTTAAAACGGGTATTCTGGGTTCTTTCACCCTACTCTCCCGCACTCAGCCCATCCTACACCCCCACCCAACATTCTCTCCCCATCCCATCCCCCACCGTCACTCAACCATCTCTTCCCGCCCCCACACAACCTTATCCCCCACTCCAACCCAATCTTCTTCCCCTCCTCCCCCATCATTTATTCATGCAGTTCTGTACATCATGCACACTTTGATGAGCACATCGCATTTTATGCAAATTATCATGATAATCAAGAAGAGCACAAGATGGTTTCTACTCTACATATTGTCAGTATTGTCACATACTCTACAAACACATATGCAAATTGATCAGATCTCATGCATTATTCATTTAATAGGGCTGCACCAGATTTCATCAAACTCTTCGTAACTTACGATGCATCGCAGCGCTGCGACGCGTCGTATCCCTACGATGCATCGCAGCTGCGACGCGTCCAACGATCCATTTCACAAAACACGTCGTAAATGCGACGCATCGTATGTGTATTTATAGCACAACTGGGTGACTGTTTTATGTATTTAGTCAGCGTACAGTAAATAGCCGTCTGATATTCAACAAAGAGTCGTCGGATCTCAGCTCGAAATTTGTGAAAACGTTAGACAAAATGGCGGTCGTGCGATGCAATTTTGAAGAAAAATAAGCTCTCAGTGGACTGTATAGCTACCTTGAAATTTCAACTGCAATATTCCAGTCTAATTTATAATTATTTAATGAATTTTTTATTTACAACTTTGCAGACATTGCCTCGGTATTATATCTCGTTTATGTAATGTTTATGGCATTAAACTGGCTAAGAAAAGGGACTCTTCTTATTTTGTGATGACCACTAGACACGTCGTAACTTGCGACGTGTTTTAAGCTGTTGTCAAGGAACTTACGACGCGTTAAACACATCGCAACTTTCGTGAAATGGAAGATACGATGCGTCGCGAGTTGCGACATGTTACACATTGTTACTCGAGTTGTGACGCGTCGCAGCGCTTCGTGAAATCGGGTGCAAGACTGAATTACAATGTACCAGTATCAACCAGGCACATTTTTTTCCGGGTTTGAAGAATGCACTTGATCGCTGATGCATATTCATCAAGAGAGGAGTGACATTTGCAGAATGCTTTTGCACATCACCTGCACATGTAGAAATTAGGCAAACACTCATACATATTCATAAAAAGTCACCAAAGCACATGTCAGCACTTTATGCAAAGCAGCCAGGGCCTGAATATTCAATAAAGGGTGGGGCTATATTTTACGGGGGGGGGGGGGGTTATAATTTGTTGTAACAAGCTTTTATTACATACAACAACACATTGTATGTTGTGTTGAATTTAACTTCTTTTGTATTTGCATGCGTTTTGATTGTTGCAAGCTTGGTATGCTTTTATTTGCAATCTGTCCTGCATGATTTTATTATTAACTCTTGGATTTTTTTCTTTAATCCAATGGAATAAAGTAACAAAGGTTTGGTGTAACAAGTAATTGTTTATTCAAGTACCCTTTTATTAATGCTTCAGATAGTACCACATTTTAGAACAATTTATTTCATCAGAAATAACAAACATGAAAAACAGAAAACCGGAATTGTTTTGGGATAAATGTTGGTTGGAAATTTTTTTTCCAACTTCACTGTTTAAACATGTAAGCATCTATTGCATGAAAGTTTTTACATAATTTTTGAATTATTTAGTAGAAAAATTTGATTTCTCTCGTTTCATGTTGATGAATACAAGTAATTTTGGCATCCAGTATAAAAGCACACTTGAAGTTGTTATAATTATTGTTGATCTGATAAAAGCGCACTGTACACATTTCTAAAATTTGGACACTTTGTGAATTTATCGATGTCATAACTGGATCTGTTGCCATGGTAAACCAGCTTCCACAGAATCGGACGGAGAGGACATCGTCCGACGGAACAGGAAGGTGAACTTTGCCGACTGCCCATCGCACTTAACCCCGCCCACCGAGAGGAGGAAAAAGAAAGTGGGCATCAAGAAACTGTTTGGAAAGTAAGTGAGTTTGGGAAAGAAAGAAGAATGGTAATAAGAAGGAAAAAAACTAGAGTTTGTTTCTGCATTCAATAGGGGACGTTGAACAATAGAGGACAATAGGATCCCCAATTCCTGAGAGGTCCCCAATTTGGATTCTTGTACAAACATATGGGAGGTCTTCCTAAAAGAAAGTGGGCATCAACAAACTATTTGGAAAGTAAGTAAGTTTGGGAAAGAAAGAAGAATGGTAAAAAGAAGGGAAAAAAACTAGAGTTTGTTTCTGCATTAAAATAGGGGACGTTGAACAATAGAGGACAATAGGGTCCCCAATTCCTGAGAGGTCCTCAATTTGGATTCGCGTACAAAACATATGGGAGGTCTTCCTAAAAAGTACAAGCACAAGAGGGACAATAGAGGGATCCACGATAGCAGGCAAATACACACTTGTCTGTTCCTGCATGGCATTACGCCTGAGGACAGACAACAAAAGGAGCACAAAGGGGCCATTGATCCTCGAAGGAAGGTGCCTATTGTCCTCGAACGCAGGTTTGTGTGCTTAGTCTATGGGAGAGTGTTATATTACAGGGACAAAGGAAAACACAAAGCCAATCCTCGGAAGCATAGCAAAAAACGACTATGTGAGTTTGTAAGTGTATCAGGCCTGTAGTAATATACCTATTATTCGACTGGTCACACTACAAAATGCCACAGATCTGTCTCAAGACTACAACTTAACGAGGATTTTATTTTTTAACAGGCTACAATTTATTTTCCTTCTCAATAATTTGTGGGGAATTTGGTATGTACTATGTGTGGTGCCCAGTAGGTACAACATGTATCTGAAAGAAGCTTTGGTAAACAAACATTCTCGGTAGGTTGAAGAGAAGCAACTCTGCATCCTTAACCTTTGAGGAGGATGATGACGATGCGCCAGTGGAGTTCCGTCGTGGTGGGCGTTTCAGGGCGACGGCTGGTCCGAGACTTGGCTTGCCTGGGCTTCGTGTAAATAGGTCAGTTGAAAGGACAAGAAAGGGTTGATTATTTAATTGACATTCAGTGGAATTTTGCCTCTGGAAGAAGTTAATTTTAATAATGACTTTAAAAAAGATTTATGTTTAAAACAAAAACTTGACATTTTGACTGTTTCTCAAAGGCAGGGAATGACTATGATAGATTATTCCTATGCTGATGCAGTTTTACTTGCCTGGTATAACATGAGGTTGTACAAGAGGCTGTAAAAAACACAAAATCCAAAATTGTCGTTGTTGGGACTCAAATCCAATACGGACATCTTGCCACTTGACTGCCAATCTTGCTGTTATCATATGGCAGGTTTTGAATCTGATATACCGGCTGGTATTTCAATCAATTACTGTTTGGACAGGTGGAACTTTTGCGTTAGGGACATGTAAATTCAGATTGCTTTTTATTTAAACCGTGACCGACATAATTTAGTAAGTAGTGTATACTCATTGCTGTCTGATTACTCTCAAGAAAAACAAATCACTAGCTAATACCTGCATGGAACTCAAACCCTTCGACTTCCTACTTGTTGGTGGAGATGTCTTTAGTACCACTCAACCACCGAGCTTGCTGTGGTTGGTTTGCAAGTTCTGTCTGATGAACAGTAGAACGCCGCTAAGACAAACGCTGCAATACAGAATATTTGGCTATGACAGACATCCCATTTGGATCCCACAGTTTATGTACAGTGGGACGTTGTTATACTGAACACCGCTATAACAAACTTTTGGCTATACCGAAAACCATCCTTGGCTACCGATTGTTGTGTACAAAAACGTACAAGTTTTTTTAACAATGTTCCAAAAATGTCAGGAGAAGAGCAACAAGTGGCTATTATTTCCCCAAGGAATAGAAGGGGAAAGCCACCCATTGCTGTAGGTAGTAGGCTCAAAAACTGTGTAATTACATAATTCAATAGTCGGCACGTGTTCAAAGTCGTCTTACAGGGCGGGCAGGGTGAAGTTCTGAAGGGCGCTATTTGTTGAAAAGTGAGTACCGGAGCACCGGCAGCTTAAAATCGCTATACCAAATGATCGCTAATATTACGAACAATTTCTGTGGATCCCGGGGTGTTCGTTATAGAGGCATTCCACTGTACGCCATTATTGACCATTGGCTACCAAATTTGCTACCACTATACCGAACAGCATTTGGTGGACCCTTTTATATTGATTATAGAGAACTTCTAATGTAGTACCATTTTTTATTTCAATTGCAGAGATATCGACGCCCCTTTCGCCAAGTGGGAGGGTGACCAGGTAGCGGCCTGGTTGCATGAGATGGGATTGAGCCAGTACATGTCCATGTGTCGCGTCTGGGTCAAGAACGGAGCCACGCTCCTCAAAGCATCGCCCCTGGACCTTGAGAGGGTGAGACCATTTGTTCACTTCACTGACTTCTGTCTTTCCGAATAAGGCTTGTGCTAAAAAAAGTTGCCTTAAGATGCTCTGAACATGAATTTGCTTAGTGCCAAAATAAAAAATTTCAGCAAATGACAAGTTTCCAGCAGAAATGACATTGGATTTGTATCACTCATTACTAGTACCCAGTTTGTTTCTTTCTCATCAAGAAAGAAACTTTTCTGCTGAATAGTTCCATGAAACGGCACATTGAGCAAGTAGTTTTAGCACAAGGGCTGAAAAAGGGTACAAAAATCTGTTAAAAGGCACATTTCACAAATACCAGGCCTTTTTTGGTTTATTCCAGAGGTACCAGTATCCTCCCTGTACCCGATAGCTGACTGACAGACTCACCGACTGACAGCCACTTTTGAGCTGGGCAGTACTATTGTATAGGATTACCCTGTTTCGGCAATGAGCTAAATCCGGCCCATTATGTAGACCATATGCATGAAAAGACTTCCAGTGAATAGGCATTCTGAATCAATTGAATAGAATGGTGTGTGCTTTGGGACCAGCTTTACCAGGCCTGCCTTACTTTGTGTTCGCAGGAATTGGGAGTCAAGAACGTCCTCCATCGCAAGAAGCTCCAGTTAGCCATTCAGGCCATGGGCTCGGAAGAAGAGGACCGATTCAGCACGCTGGACTACCACTGGGTGACCAGATGGCTGGACGACGTGGGTCTACCTCAGTACAAGGATGCCTTCAATGAAGCCAGGATTGATGGGAGAATGCTGCACTACCTGACTGTGGTAAGTGTTACAGAGAAACCGAGACTTTGTCTCCAGCTTTGGCTTTGTCTGTATGGAATTATTCTTAATTTTGGCCTTTGTATAATAAAATTTGATGTTACTGGAGCAGAACTTGGACCTGTATTGAGCCAAAGTTGCCTTCAAGTCAGGAGCTTAAACTAAATTTGAGCCTGGAGCCAAAGCTGAAGACAGAGCTAAGTTTTGGGAATGTCTCAACACTGTCTCAACTTTCAAATCAAGTCAGAGAACACTCTACACAGAGTTTGGCAAACTTGCTGGAACACCCACAGTTTTTGTAAGGATAGGTTTTTTTTTCTTTTTTGATTTTCTTAGATTTTTGTATCTTTGAAGTCAGTTACATAACAGTCACCAATTTTCAACCTTAATGATATCAGATTGGTTGAAATGTGGCACACATGCAGTCATTCATCCAATTATGTGAACATTGCAACCATGTCATGACAATGTCATTGGTTCTTGCACGGTGATCTCATGAATTTATAAATAGTTCAGGTTGTCTTATAAATGATGCATATATACACATATTGTTTCTTGCACTATGACCTACTGAATATTCAATTAGGTCAGGATGACCTGATGATGTACAATGTTGGTTCTTGCATTATGACCTAATGAATATTTACTTCAGGATGATCAAATGCATGAAGATATGTATTGTCGAGCTATGACCTCATGAATATGTAATTATTCCAGGATGACTTGATGATGTACAATAATATTGGTTCCTTTACTTTGACCTGATGAATAATTCATTATTCCAGGATGACCTTCTTTTGATGCGGGTTACTAGCGGCATGCACCATGTCAGTATTATGCGGGGAATCCAGTGCCTAAGGCTGTACAACTTCCAGCCCAATTGCCTCCGACGTCGACCGACAGACGAAGTAAGCATATGTGTCGTTCTAATCCCCTTCCTTTCACAGCGTAAAGGGAAAGTCCCAAGCATGCCAAGAAACTACAACTTTCAGAAGATAAACAAAACATTAACACATTTGTTTTGAGTAATTTTGTGTAGTATTGAGTAAGGCCATATCACAGCATCAATTGTAATGGTTGTTAGAATGCCTGAAGCTCATGCAGCATTTGTTAACCGTTAAGGATAATAAACCGATCGGTTAAGCCACGCCCTTTGATGCTTTGACCAATTACAGCCATGAATGTGCAACCAAAAGTCTGACGAAAATCCAGTATTTGCACTTGTGTATAATGTGCAGCTGGAACATACAGTGCAACACTGGAGAGGTGTACATGTTTAATGGTGTGCATTAACGGGTAAAACGACAACCGGGTACCCTTCTGAAGTAAAACACAGGTACCCAGGTACCCGTAAAAGAAACCCAACCCCAAATTCAAATCCTGGAAATTGCCAGAGTGGATATATAGCTTAACGGTGTAAACTGGAACTGCGAGTATGTGGTACGTTGAAATGCACATGAATGTGAAATCTGTTTTGGTTATAAAGTTGGGTATGGGTACCCACTCCCATATTCGGAATTCGGATCCTGACATCAGCGCTCGGATACTCGAGTATCCGGTTTCGATACACACACCTAGTGTTGTTTCTCCTGTTCAGAGTGGCCTGGGCTTATAAGTAAACAGTCTTTTCACTTTGAGAACTGAGTGACGAACTTTGTATTCAATTCCTCCAATAAATCACAGATAATCAGGTTTAAGACTATGACTCAGCATTACGTAAAATAAACAGATGATTTTTTTTACTTCAGATTTGTACCAGTTGGCAGTTGCATATCAGCTCATGACCATTTGTTTTCTTTCACAGAATTGGTTTACTGAGGTTAAAACAATGCCCCCTTGGAGTTCAGAATTGGTAATCAAACAAACAAACAAACAGCTAGTGGGGCATGCTCAGTGTGGAGTTGGTTGTTGCTATTGCACGGTTGTTACATCGCAGATCTCAAAATATGGATTTTTGGGCTAACAAGCCATGACATCCTCCTGCAAAGTTAGGCTGCGCAAGAATTTCTTTGCTGTCACTGGCAAAAAACCCACATGTCTTCTATGGGAAAAGGCTTCAGCCACGTCTATAGGGGCATGTGTAATAGAAAGCCGTAGTCATGTAATTTACACAGAGCTTTTAAGGTCATTTGCGACATGCTCTCCATGTACATGTAACTGTACTGGTTTTCTCTGCCATGAGCAGGTTGAGAATAGGGCTTTCCAGTTTGGAATAATTTAGTATTCGATTACTCAAACTGCGTCAGGCCGAGTATTTGGATATTCAGAACTGCCAGCTGCTACTTCGTGCTTGCGCCATTCAAATGTTGCAAGATGAGCGTGCCAGTTAAAATTTGCGTGCGGCGATCGATATGGGGTGCAGGAGTTGTTTGCAGTAATTATTTTTAGGGGTTTAATGCTAAAATGATGTTAACAATGAACTGCCGTCAGCCAAAAACAATTGAAGTTGACAAAAGAGTGGCACCTGACAATTAAAGCACCGCAACTTTACGATAAAATAACATCACAGCTGTGTGTGTACCGGTATATGCGTATTTTACTTTTTCCCTGAATATTCTAAACGGCAAAACTGAACAAATTAAGTTTAAACAAGTGAAAAAGTTTATGTTGCATTCCAGCGCACATTTAAGCCTGAATTTGGGAAATTACTGCCTCATAATTATCCTATTTTGAGATCTGTGATTGTGTTGGTGGCGTTCTGTGTAATATTGTCCAATTTCATTGGAAAGTCCCAAAAATTACAAACTTATATACTACTGGTGCATGTAGTTGTTATGTTTAGATTTAATTGTCGACTGTGTCTATTTTGTATCTTTACAAAAAAGACCAAAATAAGTACACAGATGAGATTCAGTGCCTGCAGTTGCACTTGTTTTTTGGACCAGCCTGCTTCATTTGGTGGTGATCAGGTTTTCAAACCACAGACAGTCCCTTTAATTCAGTAATATGGTAATGCACAGTTAATACTTTGGTGTCATTTGTACTTATGGTGTATGCATTGCTTAAAGGAACTGCCTGTTCTACTTGTCTGTGAGTGGGGTTTCAAAGTGTACTTGCATTGGAGGAAGTGTAATAAATATTTCAATCGAGAGTGAAAATGAAAAAAAATCCAGACAATTTACATTTAGAAAACATGCCGGTACATTTATGAAAGGTTTATGACCACTTCAACAGGAAGTTATACATGTAAGTGGAAATATTTTTATACACTGAACAGTGATCTTAGTGGTGTGGAGGTTTGGGAGCAGTAGTGCTCAGCATCATGATGTGATTTATATGTACAGAGTAGGGAATAGAATAGCCTTCTTCACATTGTGTACTGTGACCCTACTTTGCATGGTTTCACAGGAACTTACATGTATTCCTGAATGCCTTGTGGACAGACCTTTACTTGTAGGTTCAGAATTTATTGACCTTCAGTACTTTATACTCATCAATGTATCTCTGCAGTGTCATCTGTTGTGCTCTTTGTGGTTATCATAGTGTATGATCAACATCTTGCAATTTGTATCCCTGAGAATGTGATCTAGTGCCCAACCAAAGCATTATTAGATGTACTTTTGCTGTCATTGCCAATTCTAATTTGTCTTTTTTGCATCTCGTATTTTTTGTCCTTAATTGTCATTTTGTAACAGTTGCTTTTTTTTTCACTGTCGTCAATACCAATGTCTGTCATTGCTGCTATTGTTTTTCATTACCATCTCCATCGCCATTGTCATATCATTGTCACTGCTGTCATTGCCATTTTAGGCATCATCTTAACCCCTTAATGCCGGCTGACTGCGGTGACCGCAGCTCAATGAAGGGCAATGAGCCGGGGAACGCTGTGGCCGCATTCCTGCTGGCCATTCAAGGACAATAGTCAAATGCCTGCATGTACACATTCCACTCAAAGTGCAGTTGTCGGTTGCCGAACCAAACTGGCGTCAAGGGGTTATATGCCGTTCTCATCGCTGCCATTGTCATATTAACCCTCCTAGTGGAAAGCCAATATTTAGAGCAATATGTAATTTGACCTATTATAAAAAATCCAGCAGGTCAGTTTCAAGTGAAGGGATACAAAGTGTTTATAACTGTGTCACACACAGAGTCACTGCACACAAAGAAAACAGCACCTTGGAGAGCAGTGAAGCATTACTGAACCTGCCTGCTTGCCCTGAGCTTAACCACGCAGAATTGTGCACGGAAATATCCACACTCCACAGAACATTGCCTCAAGGAATTTGAAGTTTGGGTGATACTGTAAATATACTGGTATGGGCAAAAGTGGTCTCGCAAAACTTGAAGAGTTGTGAAGCACAGAAGACTAGGAGGGTTAATCATTGTCATTGAATGTTGTCATCATCATTGCCATTCACATTACCATTTTCGTTCTCATTATTATTGCCATTGTGTCGTCAGTCATCTTCATTTTCATCATTTTGTCACCTTCCCCATTTCAACCATCAATCTTACAAAATGGGAGACTTCTGAGATGCTTGGTGGCAAAAACACACGGGTCCTTTTCAGTTATTTACGTCAAATTCAACCCTTTTAGAGGTGAAGCGACATAAATGATGCTCATGGTTCAGAGGTGCATTGTAGAACAACACTTTTGTTGCTTTACAAAGCCTTTGTTTTGACAATATTTATCAATTAATCCAACGACGGCCACTTGAGAGCAGCAGAATACTGACTTAACCCTAACCTTGCCAGACGCAGCACAGTGCATCAGGTGGAAAAGTCTGGTGCACTTGGATGCATTCAGCTACCAACACCAGTGCATAAATGACCACTTCTGAGACAATGAGAGCTAGTCCCATAGAACAATGCCACAGTTGTATCCTGCTGCATTCGGTGACCATAGACTCTGAGGCAGTTTGGCCTTGAGACTCTTTGCCTGATGGATCTTGCTACACTCGGCAAGCTTGTCACTTTATAGACAAGTGTTGCATGTTGCTGTGTTTGGCTTGGTTTCTAGCCAAAAAACCTGGAGGGTTTAAGGGTTCAGCTATTACATGTAAATGTGTGCATGTTGAAAGTGATGCAGACAATAGAAAAGGACAGATGTGTTTGCTGCCACCAACTTCTCAAAAGTCTTCCATTGTCATTATCTTGGCATCGGCATCTGCCAAGGTAATTGCCATGGCATTTGGTTTCAGATTGTACATGCAATATATCTGGTGTTTGATACTAAAGTTAAATATAATAATCACTAGATTTTGCTTGAACTCCATCAGACTTTGAAAAGGTTAAAATGTGGACAATTAACATGTCATGGTGTATTTATCCCGAAGCTGATACTTCCGTTGTCAGGTTTTGTCCGGAACATATTCTGAGCGCAAAAGTCAACATGTACATGCCAGAAACTGCCTTTTGCCCTGTTCCCAGTTCAGACAAAAGAAAGTTTGAGTTAATTTTCATTCTAGTGGAGCTGCTGAGCGAAAACAATAAATGTATTGATTCTTTAGTGAATAAAAACAGTGTAATACAGTGTAGTACATGTACAGGTGCTAATGGTGTTAAAGTTTTTTTTCTTAACCATAACCTCCTTGATACAATTTTGACAAAAATTTGACCTAAGCAGCGCCACTTTCCATGTACCGTACCAAGGAGGTTATGGTTAAGGTACAACACTTTAAGCACCCTCAGCTTCTGGACTTCATTGTAGTACATTGTGTTTATTGACTGAAGAAGCAATAGGGCCTACAAACCATAGGATCGAGTGGGCGGTTTCAGGCGCTACAGTGAATAAATAGGCAAGCAGTGTCGGGTGTAACAGTGACTTAAGGGTCAATTACATGTAGAAACTAAAGTGTTTACCCCTTGGTTGTGTTATATTTTGTTCTCCGGTGTATAGCCTTACGAAGCAGGACGTGAGGTCCTGCTATGGACAAACCACAGGGTCATGGAATGGTTACGGACGGTGGACCTGTCAGAGTACGCGCCAAACCTCAGGGGCAGTGGCATCCACGGAGCCCTTATGGTAAGCAACAGTAGCCACAGCGCGGTCATCCAATCCCCACACTAAAACAAAATGTGCAAAGTGTGAAACAAGCTTACAAGCCTGAAGAAAGCCATGGAGGGAGAACAATAATAATAATAATAATAACAACAAAGCATTTGTAAGGCGCACAGTATCTGACAAAAATAGTCATTCAAAGGCGCCGGTCAGTGAAAAGTCAGTGTGTGTGTGTGAAGGTAGAGGTCATTATGTGTGAGAAAGAAACTGATTGAAGAGGTGGGTCTTTAGTTGGCGTGTGAAGAGAGATAATTGGTGTATTGCCCTTAACTCGTCTGGTAACGCGTTCCAGAGACGCGGTGCACAGCTGGAAAATGCACGGTCTCCGTAGGTCGCCAAACGAGTCTTCGGGACAAACAGTACATGTATATTGGATGACGACGACCTCAGACCTGGTCTCAGTTGACGATGTTGAACCATTTCCTTCAGATACAGTGGGGCTAAGCCATCAGCACAATGAAGTGTTGTTCAAGAGATGGGAGGAAAACGATGAGTAATTGTATTTGTCACCAATATCTTTTATTTGTCACCAAGATCTTGTATTTGCCACCAACATCTTGTATTTGTCACCAACATCTTGCAATTGTCACCAAGAGTTGCCACCAATATCTTGTAAACATCAGAAATACTTTGAATTTGTCACCAAACCTTGTAGTTGTCACAAGTACCTAGTATTTGTCATCAATTTTTGCCTTTGTTTTCAGGTCTTGGAGCCCCGTTTCACCGCAGAGACCCTAGCCACCACCCTCTGCATCCCTAATGCCAAGTCCCTCCTCAGGAGACACCTCAGCACTCACTTTGTCTCTCTGGTGGGCAGTGAGATCCAAGCACAGAAACGAGAAACGGAAAAAGCGTCCAACTATGTACCACTCAGCGCACTCTCCAAAGTCAAGGTAGAATGGACACTTGTTCAAACCCATGTGAATGCAAATGCAAAACGAATGCGACATTATGGAATAATCGCAATGAAATTCACCGGGGATAAACAATTTTTCAACTTTTGCAACTTGTAGTGGGTATTCTGGCCATCTGTATACTGGTGACGTCACAACTTCGTCTTCATGTTGGCTTTTGGGCCAATTATGAACAAGGCTAAAAACTAGCTTGAAGGTCGTTTTATACAGGGTTTCCACATGTTCAAAGCCTTTGCTGTTGCCCAATTATGTTTGACTCGTTAGCCGGCTACTTGAGGAAAAGTTTGACTAGCCCTCCGCTGGTTGGACAAGCGTTTGGCTAGCAGGCTACCGCTAAAGTCGAACCCTGGTTTGTACTTAGTACAGAAGCAAGCACAACTGAAATTGTGACGTCATGGAAAGTATTTGTGCTGGGAGGTCTCAAAAATTAAGCACATTTCAACTCTGGCCAAATTTGTTGAAAATTTGGTATGAATTTGCCATGACAACACCATACATACATTGTAATGTCAGTTAGTCATGCAAAACGTGAAGTTTACTTTCGCAAACATCGTTTTTTTTCCGGATATCATCTTTGAAACCTATAATTTTGTTTTTCTTTGAATGTGAAAAATCCCGTGCATTGGAATTTGTAAATTCATTATTATCACAGGGGTGTGAAATCTCAGCTTTAAAGCTGATTTCAGCTTTTTTTGTTTTGGATTTCAGCTTTTTTTGTTTTAGATTTCAGGGTTTTTTCCTCACTTGCTGTGTACAAAAGTATAGGAGATTTCCAAAGTTCAGCTTTTGTACAACTTTTCCAGCTGTTTTCAGCAATTTTTTATCAGTGGTCACTCACACCCCTGTTATCATAGTTTCTGGGTTTTCTAGATGTGGTATTGGTACTTCATCTCATTTTAAGAAAAGTGTTGTCACTAAATGGTAATTGAGCAGTTTAAGAAACTAACCGTAAATTATTAAAATGTTTGTTTCCTGCTATTTATACAGCCGAAAAAGCGCCCCTTTGGTGGTCGCCCAAAGAAAAAGGGCATGGAAGAGGACGACTATGTGTGCCCCATGAACATTGAGGTACCCCCAGGGCTGCAGGGGTTGAGGGAAGGGGTACAGAATGGGACCAAAATGCCCCCTAGCTACCGGGTGGAGGTACGGAGCGCCGGGAAGGTTCACAAGCAGGAAGATGAGGTAGGGTAGACTGGAATGCAATGGGAATTGGAATGGATGTGGGAATGGGGACTGATAATTTGAAGGTGAAGAGGAATGGTAAGGGGAACTAGAATATGAATGGAATGGGAATGGGTGAAGGAGTGATTATGGGGATGGAAATGGGAATGAAAAGGGGAAGATGAAGGGAATGGGAAGGGCAAGGGGAACTGGAATAGGAATGGAATACGAATGGGAATTGGTAAGGGAGTGACAATGGGAATGGAAATGGGAACGAAAAGGTGAAGATGAAGGGAATGGGAAGGGCAAGGGGAACTGGAATGGGAATGGGTAAGGGAGTGACAATGGGAATGGGAACGAAAAGGGGAAGATGAAGGGAATGGGAAGGGCAAGGGGAACTTGAGTAGGAATTAAAATGGGAGTGGATTGGAAAAAGGAAAGGGAATGGGAATGGGAATGGGAGTGAGAACGGGAATGGAAATTGGAATGGGTATGAGAAGGTGAAGGGGAATGGAAAGGGCAAGTAGAACCAGAATAGAAATGCAAATAGGAATTGAATGGGAATAGGAAAAGGAATGAGAATAGGAATGGAAACTGGAATGGGAAAAGAATTGGGAAGGAAGTGGAAGGGAGGAGGAATGGAATTGGTTTTCTTCTTGTGGTGACTTTTTTGTTTTTGTTTTTTTGCAGACCAGTGCGAGTTCCCCTGACTCGGCTGATGGGACCCCACCCAGTCAGATCGGAGTCTACTCGGAAGAAATTAATACCCTCACGGTAAGAAATTTTCCTGATTTCTTTCCCATCAAGTAAAATTTTGAGTAGATCAGATTTTTTCCCATGAAAATAACATTCACCAAATACAGGTGATCTATAAATAGTCAAGTTACCTGGCCATAAGCCCCCTCCCCACCTGTAGTTGGTGTACATTTCTCACAGTGATTTTGACCGTGTTTGACTGAGCTTCTGTTGTCACCTGATCAAAAAGATGTGATCTTAGTGGTCAATGCAGCATGTCTGAATGACAGGGTCCTGTAATTGTTTTTTTTTTTTTTTTTTTTTTCCGTTTTACAGAACATGTTGAATGATGACCCAGCTGAAAATGGCGGCACTACTGTATGAACAACGCATCAGGGAACAAAAGTAACAGAATTTCAACAGGACTCTACAAACTTGGGCTTCCAAAACTAAAACACGGGCATTTGTACATCGGCGATATTCGCGCAGATTCGGCGATTAATTATGCAAAACAGGACTGTGTCTCGACCTTCAGATTCATTTAGCGAGCACCTTTTATTGGGTCTTCGGTAACCCGTTGTTGTTTTTCAAAACCATGACAGACTAATTGACCAGTCAACACCTAGTCCTCATTTCTGATCGAAATAATTTCTAAAGTCGACTACGATTGGCTGGAACGTGGGGTCGCATAAAATGTGCATGCTTGGATATATGAGACGTTCGTAGTGTGGCTCTGCACTAGAATGCCAGTATTAAAAGGGGGAACTCTTCAATTATTCAATTGGAATTAACGAATATACAATTGCCTTTCAACCGTAAATTGTTTTAAATGTTTAAATCAGTTGCGTTTTAGGATATTATGTAGCAATGATTAATTCTGCCTTACTTTTTACAGTTATTTATGCCATGATCATCTTAAACTCTTGTGTAAAATAATTATTTGTAAATTATTTACTGCCTGTTAAGGAAGTCATTTGAGAGTGGTAATGCTATTTTAATCCGTTTTTATATTCAATTTAGCATTAATCCTGTGAGGGTCATGCAAAAACGACTTGAATTGAGTCAAGTAGTGCGATTAAGAACTAGTTTTGATATTACTGTAGTTTATTTTTTTGATACTGGAGATTTTGTATAGTTTAACATCGAGCAGAAATTGGACAATGAACATCTGAACAAAATGTAGATTTGTAGACGTAATTTAATTCTAAGCTCTACGCAGTTAAGCAGGGATGCCAGTGGGTTTTTGCTCCACAGCCTGAGAAGGTTTGACATGTGAAAGACAGTTAAAATGCACAAAACGATTGCAATACACCATAAACACAAATGCAATACCACAAGTGATCTGATACACCATGCCCTCTGGAGACATGCACACAATAGGGAACAAAAGACTATACGTCTCCACAAGGCCATTTCTATAGATGTATGAGTCTCCACAAGGTTGTCACGAAATAGATATATGGATTTTACTCAAAAACTGGGAACTTCCAAGGTGTGTTGATCCGTTGCAAATGGAAGAGTTTTATAAAAAGGGATATCAAGTCCGAATTTCAGCCCAGGAAATTAATTCTGGTTACAAAAGGAGCATTTTGAAAGTACGCTTTCAAACTCGACACTTGATACAAATTACAGTATGGGTGTACATGTCGCTGCACAAGGATTACCTGTTTTCAGCCTATGATGGGATGGCATGTCTGTATTTGTTTTTCCTTAACATAGAAAAGCCTGAATTCAATATATAGCCTAAAATTGGCATCCCTGATTTTAGGAATGGTTTAGCAAAATGTTTTTAATTAAAAAAAAACATAAATATGACTAACATTATACAGGTACTGATAAAGTGAAGCATTATATAGTCTCAAAATGTGTATTTTCCCCCAGTTTGTCAAACTATGCATTCAATTCCAACACTATTTTCTGAGGACCTTATACAGGTTGAGTCAAAAAGAAAGTGACCTGCATAAATGATTTTTTCTTTAAAAAACAATCAAATTTTATTCTTTTTTGAAGCATGTTCTTCTACTCCTCTAAAAAAAAAAAGAATTACTGAAATTGAGTCATGATGTCGGAATTTATACTTGTTTTACTGAAACAAATTTTTTTTTAACTGTTCGTGGAATGCCATTGGAAGCTATTGAGCTGAGTGAGAATTAGTGATCACACAGGCATTCAAATACAAACGGGATTTTAATTGGTTGAGTCAAGATTGACAGTATATTTACTGTTAGCTTTTGTGCTTTGAATATGAGTGACAAGTCGACTCTTTTTCCCCCCTGAAATATTGATGGTGATTCGTTCATTCACTTCACTGAATTTCCATTTTTCACTGTATTGAATGGGTACTCAACAGTTCATACCACGGTAACGAACAGTCGTGGACAGCTGATTTGTTTTTATCTTGTTTTTAAATTAGACATAACTTGGGAACAGAGTATGCAAATGACGTGAAATGTTCACAGTTAGTAGTCTGTAACACGTAGTTTATCCCTATGTTGTTTTTATGAAATGGAGCGAGCCACATTTTATAAAGTGATTTTTTTCCTAATTCAGTCACTTTCTTTTTGACTCACCCTGTGGAGAACTACATCTACATGTATTGAAATTACATTTGATAAATATTTACAGACTACATATACATTGAAGTTTTTATTTGAAAATTGTAACGTCTAACCTCTATCAATTTAATACATTTTGTATGTGTATAGAAAACAAAATATGTTTAAACTGCACAAAAATCATCATCAGGTTTATACTAAAGGTATCCTTATATACTAATACTATTTATGAACTAGATTTACTTCCAGTTTTAGCATGCGCTTGCTTGGATACAAACACCTCATTCAGAGACGATTTGCAGTTGTTTTCTGCTCTATCGAAATGAGAATTACGTTGGGGGAGGGGGGGGGAGAAATTCATTTAATGATCAAGACAAAGTGAAAAAATGCCAAAATTAAAATTTACATTCAAAAGATCTATGACACATTTTTGGATAATTAACATTCTTCTTAAAGCCACAATAACATTATTTTTTTTAATACAGCAGGTTAACTAAAGCACAGTGTCGCGTTTCAATATTTGTAATTAATGAATTTTGGGTGGTTTTGTTTACATGTCTTTTATCTGAAAATTGCACCAAACCACATCTCACGACTTAAACATTTGCCTAAATTAATGCTATGACACATTTTGGATAATTAACATTCTTCTAAAATCCACAATAACATTTGGTTTTTTTTTTAAATACAGCAGGTTAACTGAAGAACAGTGTCGCATTTCAATATTTGTAACAAATATTGAATTTTGGGTTGTTTTGTTAACATGTCTTTTATCTGAAAATTGCACAAAACCACATCTTCTCACAACTTAAACATTTGCCAAAATTAATGCTTCAACGTACAGGGTTCAACTCAAAAGTTGTCTATTTTCGTCAGCATTTGTCTTCATGCAATCTATTTTTAGACGATTTCCTAGAGTTATAAACTTGTCAAATTTGTACTGTTCCGTGTCTTTTCATGAAAAACCTTTTTAGTCCATTTTAACCGCTGCGAAATTATGCAAAAGTTGTCGAATTTTAAATGTTACAATTAAAGCGTAGATACCTATTTTGAAAGTAAAGCAGATTAACTTGCGTTTTCTGCAAATAAGCGCCAAAGAGCGCCACCTTTTGACATAATCATCGAAAGTCTGGAACGTTTTCGTTTCACCACTTCTATTCTTTTTTTTTTTAAATTCCTAACTTAATCATGCTAGTACAGCTTTAAAAATTTCCACCATTTTTGGACAAGACCTTGACTAAAGCAGAGCCAAAATCTGAATTGTATTATTGATTCTTGTAAATAAATTAAAAAAGAACAGTAAACAATTCATAATGCAAATATCGTACATTAACCTTCTGGTATACATGTAATTCCTGTAGTGTTTTTTTAAAGCCTTGTTTATTGTACTTCTGTACCTCACAAAGCGTTTACTTGCTTTTCTGTAAATAAATATTTGTGAAAAAAATGTCTGCATTGATTCGATTTTATTGTTTTGTTGGTGTGTGCATTTTTCACTCCCATGTTTTTAAAGGAAATGTTGGCGTTCAAAAATTGGGCCAAATTCAGTGAAATTTTTTTTTTTTAACACAACAAATCGATCTATTTTTTGCCCAAAATATTTGAAATTATAACCGGTACTTATTTGTTCTGCGTGACATCACGCAGTACGAAATCGTTTGAAATGTTTTTATCTGTTTTTACTGTGATGGACGGATAAGTTTATATTTTTTGACCGAAAGGGTATTTATGAATGGAAACAAAATGTGTTTGGTCGGTATTAAACATTGTGTTTCAGACATTTGGAGTTTAGGTTCTGATAATTGCCCTCGCCTTCGGCTCGGGTGATTATCAGCCTCCAGACTCCAACTGATCTTAAATAGAGTGTTTAATACCGCCCAATCACACATTTACTCCCCGATTTAAACTAATACACTCAAACTGTTTATAAACCTGTGTGTAAAGTCCCGTTCATACTCGGCACGAAAGCGAACGCGAATATGGATATGTGACACTAGCACTACTTTTTTGGGAGTCACATTGGCGTAGCGGTACTTTCATCTTATTCTGATTCTACAGAGCTTAACAATTTCATAAATATAATATAAATAGTTATTAAGTATTAATGATATCTTTACTAGTGATAAGACGATAACATTTGAACTAAACATGTATTACAGTAACCTTTGCCACAACATTTTGAGATTGAGTGAACGTTTTCACCGAACAAATCCAATGTTGTTAAAGTGCATTTGTTTTGTAAATTTCACCTCGTTAAATAGTAAATTTTGCAAAATTTAGTGCCAGACTATTAAAATTTGTGCATTGAAATACTGAAAGATATTAGATTTGCTTACACTAGGTTGATACAGTAGCCATTTTAACGTTATATTTATGTGAAAAAGATTATATTACTATATACAAACTGTTTTAAACAGTTTTTCCAGATCAAAAACTAAGGTCAACCGAAACTTATTTCATTTAACATTACAGTCAATTAACTCACACTGAATTGTTCAAGTGTTTTGGTTGTGCCTTTGTTTTTGCTTATTTCTTGGTGTTTGTTTCAATTATTGTTTAGTCGTTTGCTTCTATGGTTATTTTTTCTCCAGCTTCATTTTTTGCACCAGCGAAGAAAAGCGCTAAACTTGCCAACAATGTTCGAGAGCATTCTCGAAACGAAATTCATGCACCTGTGCTGCGTCATAATTATATTTGGGTTATGCGGTATGTATGATGTATACATTTAGTTTGTAAAATCGATTCCAAAAGGTAAAATTACCAAATAATTGCAACCCAAATTTCGAATCTTGTGCATGTTGTTCAATGGTTAAATGTTTCAAAGTATATAAATCTGATTGACATGACCTTGTTCAATTATTCTCTTAGAATATCACCAAACGATCTATCGCACTATTGCTGCCCTTTTATTGAGCTTATGCGTTCAGCTATCTCAGATGTGTTCTTTGTTATTTAAATCTAACAATGAACGTACGGCAGGTTTACTCATGCTTGTCCAAGCAGTGCAAAACCATTGCACTATAGCTTTGCCTTAACGTTTAAGGTGTATTGTGGATATTCTGGGTAGTTTGGTAATGAATTAAATCTACAT